CCATCAGATAGGTTGTCATTTCAGCATTTGACATCGTTGCACCTGGAGTTGTGCCCGCAGCTGATATATGTACTAGCCACCAAGTTCACGTCAGCGTACGGCAAGCAAACAGACTTGTACAACTAGACTAGTGGGCTAGACAACTTGCAGACTCTCGAGATCGTGTGGTGTGGTGCTCTCACGGAGATCTTCTCCTTGTATGTGGATGGCCCCCAGAAGATGCCGATTTCGGTGACATTCATCAGCCTAAAAAATCCACCTACATGAGCTGCCCATGCTACAGGGCATCTGCGGGCCTTGGGACGTGTATGCGCCCCGTCTCGAGACAGCCAAGGTCAGGGGCTACTGGAGTCTTAGGAGCCTGCCGTTTCTCAGGTACAGGCACGGGATCATGCATGGGGGCTTGGACAGGTACGACCACCAACCCAAGGTGCACTGCGACTGCGAGAAAGAATGGTGGGACCAGCTGGAGTGGGAAGGGCACGACCACCGTTCCTGTTACGAGCCGACCCACCCGCGGCATTACAAGAAGACCTTGCTCAGGGGCTCCGTGCTCATATGAGGTATGTATTAACTAACGTTGGTATGTGCTCACTTTAGTTTCTGCTACGTATTTCTGTTATGTGTAAATAAATGAACGTACAATGAATAAAATGGACCTCTCTTCTCATCTTTCCTTTCCTTTCCTGCAGCTAGGTAATGTAAGCAAGGCCTACTGCTCTGGTTGATCCTGCGTCGTCTCTCTTCTCTACACAGACCGTGATACTACTCTGCTCTGGTCTCCCCTGCTGCCAATCCTCCCTGCTTTTGGTCAGTTGATCTTTGGAAGTACGGATGCATGCCTATATATGCTTGTGTCATTATGGCCTGCATCTTGTCTAGATCAATCCGCATTGCGTTGCATTGGATTGCTTCTTTTTGGTTTGTCAGTGAGTGCTGTCATAGAGTCGTGACATCTTATTGTCTGCGATGTAAGATGGTGTGATACAGATGGACCTCTACTCTACTCTGAGCAGTAGAGAAACAAATAAGGGCGAGACAGAGGCTGGCTGCTGCTGCTGCCTGCTGTGCTCCCGTCGTGTGTGGTACTGTGGTGTGGACTTGTTGTGTGGTGTGCTGCTGTGGCTTGTGATCCACTTGCCAGATTGTTTAAGTTTGCTCTCATGGTTGTTGCTTTGGTGTGGTTATTGTAAAACTAAACATGGATGATTCAATAAATGATTATGCTTGTGTGCTTGCTGGTTTGTATTGTATGCAGCACAACTGCAACATGCGTGATTGCATCTCTTATAGAAAGTAAAATGGGTTTTGTTGATTGTGTTTTTCGTATTCTTACCTCACCGTTCCAGAAGTAAAATGGGGCTAGTATCACGAAATGACCCTTGCCATTCCATGCAGTTTGTTTGTTGAGAGAGTCTATGTGCATACACTTCCTATAGAGACGAGATTGTTTTAGCTAGCTTACACAAGATGGCTTTTGCAAGGTTCGTTGGGATGGGGGCAGTTTTCCTCATGTTTCTCGAGTTCAGGATCTTAGAAATCCATAATGATATGATCTACTAGATGATCATGATTTGTCCCGAAGGCATCCATCCGCTGTACTATTTCCTGTTTGGTGAGTTTTCCTCGTATGGTTTTTTTTTAACGAGGCAACAATGATGATTGTGTGCATAATCTCACGATAGTAAAATCCCTACTCACAAGCTGCTGATGCTATACTCACAAGTCACGAGGTAGACGGACGGCCGCAGCACGCCGCCGCGTGCGAGAGACGGCCAGCCGCGGACGCCACCGCGCGCGAGGGAGACGGGCAGCTGCGGATGCCACGGTCAGCCAGAGGTAGAACATGTCTACAACAGGGGTCTTTTTAAAAAAAAGATCATCCTAGTCAGTGCCTCCGAAGAGGTATGGACCTGTGGTGCACCACTTAATAAGTTCGGAGGGTCAAATTTCAAGTTTGAAAGTTCGTGGACCTAAAGGGCACAACGCTAAGTTTAAAGATCGCTAGTGTATTTAACTCAAAATGAAACTACGATAAAACTCTAACTAAAAACTATATACGATATAGAGCCTGGATCCCCAACTAAACTTTAGCTGGCTAAATTAGCTTCATAGCAGCAGGTTGTGAGGTAGGGATTTTACTATCATGGGATTGCATTATGGTTACGGGATAACAAGTTATTTAACACCCTGGTTAAAGTATGTATATATAATGGGATCGCATTGCCAACCCCAGCAGCCACCACGACAACACCAAAGCACACACGACTGGACGATCGATCACAGCAAGGTCAGGGTACATACACTGATACACACATCTCGTCTGTTCGACGCGGACACAGAAAAGAGAAACAAGAAAAATGTACACATGCACGGATCGGACCAGAGCACTCTGCATGCATGCAGCTGCTGATCGGCCGGCCGCTTTGAACTGCCCGACCACCGTGAGGACACGACGACGACGACGAGTCGACGACACGACTATGTGCAAGTGCAAAAGCACTAGTTAACTTACTGACTGCGGCTCATGATCTTGTGATCTCCTCCGGCTCCGACGGAGGGTGGGTGGCGAGGAGAGACGGCGACGACGGGGGTGGCCTCTTCCTCCTCCACCGACGGCAGGCTGGGCTCCCACGTCCTCCTCGCCGCCACGAACCCCCTGAGCCCCATCGGCAGCTGGGGCAGCAGACTACTACGGTTTCTCCGCCGCTTCCCCTTCCGCTTCTTCTTGTTCCCCTTCTTTGTCCTTGTCTTCTCCTGCTTCCTCCCGGCCGGCTCCTCGTCGTCGTCTTTGCTCGGCGCCACGGCGAGCCCCTGTTCCACGAGCTTCCTGAAGCGGCACTCGGACCACCGGTCGTTGGCCTCGAAGTAGTCCCTCGCACTGCACACCGGCATGGGAGTAGCACCGTCACCCTCCGCGGCCGCCTCCTCTTCCGACGACGACACCACCGCGCCGTCGCCTTCGTTGTCCTCCTCCTCCTCATCATCCTCGTCCTCGTCGGCGAAGGCGCCGATGGAGCTCTCGGGGATCTTCTGCTTGAGCCTGACGACGGTGCTCTCGGGGAGCAGCAGGAACTTCTGGCCGGGGAAGAGCGGCTCGAGCGGGCGGACGACGGCGCCGTGCGGGTTGCGGAACACGTCCGGGTGCGCGAGGCAGAGCCCTGGCGGGTGGTTCTGGATGACGGTGCACGCCAGCACCACGCCCGGGTACATCTCCACCACCCCGCCCCGCAGAACCACCCGCGCCACCGCCTCCTTCCTCGCCGCTACCGACGACGAGCTGCTCAGCTCCATGGACATGCTGATGCTGCTGCCGGGCGGCGGCGGCTGAGGCTTCTTCTTCTTCTTGGGCATGCCGATGCCGGTGCGGAGCGCACGCCGCACCGACTTGCCCAGCGGCACCGTGGCGCCGTGCGCCATGGATGGTACTCGATCGATGGCTTGCCGAGATACCAAACCAAACCACGCGAAGCACAAGGGTAGATTAGAAGAGGATTGGAGAGCACAAGGAAGGGAAAGGAAAAGAAGAAGGGGAGGGTGGCTGGAGGCTGCGTGGCCGTGCAGATATATTGCTCGTGTTTGTCAGCTTCTGGTAACCAGGGGAGGCAGCTCTCTTCTTGTTTGTGTCGTCGTCGTGTCGATGTGCGCGAGCGCGATCTGCCAGCGGTGGCGGCGGCGGCGCCCCAAGATACGCACGAACGTCCGGTCCGCCGGGTGGCTGATGCTTGCTCCTCGCGGTCATCAGCGCTAGCTGTTGTATCTTGTTTGGGCCTCCTTGGGACCATCGATGCACGGATCGAGCTGGACGACGACGAGGGAAGGTCATGGTGATCCATGCGCTCACGCGAAGGTGACGACCGGCCGGAGAAATCGATGGGGCACGCCGACATGCATGACGCGTACTGACGCGTGACGCCAATGCAAGGCAACCCACGGGCTCGTCGACATCGTCCATGCATTATTTGCATAGATGCTTTGCCTTGCTCCGTTGCTCGGTCTAGTTCTAGGTTCGGCAAGATTTGTTTTTAAAAAAATTGCAAGAGGCCCCCTTGGGATAATATCGCCGTGTACCAGTCAGATGGAGTCGGCTGTTCGGGTCATTTCAGCTAGGGGCCAACTTGATATATATGAAGTTTTTTTATTGGGTAATCTCTCACAGATTCATCTATCGTAACGAAAGGATGTAGAGTACACAGGAAGCAGCGCTCTCAACACTCACTTTCTCTACCTAAAAAAACACTCTCACTTCTCGGTTATTATCGCCTGTGTCATTCTCAAGGCACGACTGGGAACGTACTGTCAACATTATTGCGTCAGTGCATACACAGAGTTTATTGCACATATATATGTAAACCAGTAAAAAATGTTCCATAAATAAGGACCGATTTGGATAAGGGGACTTCGATTCAAACTTACAGAGTTAACTGACATTCTTATACGTAGAATCCTAAACATTCCTTGAGGTGCATGCTGAAAAGAAAAACGTGCTGAATGTAGCAGCAGAGCTATGGATCAATGGATGCAAAGAAAGAAATATCAAGGTCGTATAGCTAGAATCAACAGGTACTGCAAAGGGCAAAAAAAGGTGCTGAAATAAGTGTTAGTACTGACACAAAACTTGACATATACTAGTACTCATATACACAAATTGCCTCAGGAGTACAGACAAGTACAGGTAGTGAACTGAAGTCACAGTATGACAAGTGCACGGGGCATCAAAAGGCAGACCCCAGCAAATACACAGAACCACTGCTCAGCAAACATCTTTGTTTAAAGAGATGGCCCAAGGTGCCTAACCTACTCGTGTAGGACTGAAAATATTTACAGATATTGGTTGGTGTAGTATCCAACAGAGAAAAATTTAGCCGGATGTTGTGACAGACTGACAGTGCCAAATGTTTCGGGCTGTTCGCTCATACTGTTGATTCCTTGTAATGCTTTATAGTTAGAAAATCGGGGAGGACAAACACACCTCGGTTTCTACATGCCGCGTGTCAGGATCAAGGAACACGCCCTAGTACTCTTTGCACAGCTTTCTTTATGCCCTCCTGGTCTAGGGAAGTGGTCAAATACACTTCCTGGACCTGCCAAGTAATAAGTACTTCTATTTAGTTGGAACCGAACCAACAAGGCCAGACAGTAGTATAATGAAACTCAGAAAATAAAACTAATCATGTGTGGTATCAGAAGAAACCTAACCTGCCTCCCAGCTCGTGCAAGAAGTGTGAACTTGTTATCCTTAGCTGGAGCCTGTGTAATCAGATCCAAGAAGTTAATCAAAGTTTATAACATCCATCATCTCCTGTGAGCTGAAACTATGAAAAGGCTGTCATTGACTGAAAGCATACATTGGAAAGCCAAAGCTCCAAATCTTGTGAAACAACACGTTTCTCCGATGCTTGGCGCCCAAACTGTACATCTGTTATACTGTAAAGATAATACAATTACTTAGACTATGGCTGTTAATATAGCAAAACCAATTCGACTATTATCCCAGTAGAACATTTGTCCGACTTGGTGGCATATTTGTGGCAGTAAAGAACTTGCTATAGAAGTGGTATGCAACAATGTAAAAGAAAAAAATAGATATCAATCAAAGAACCAAAAACCATACCCATCCTCTTGCAATAGTTCATTACATATGCCATCAAGTCCTGGCAGAAGTTCAACTTCTGAAGGAGACATCATACGATCAGGTGATTGATCAGCTTCCTAGAAAGAAAAAAAAAATTACTGAATGAATCCACTTCTTTTCCACCACAGAGTTAAATCCACTAAGAGTCAAGACATTGCATTCAACAACTAACCAAAGGGATAACTTTGTCCAATGTCTCCAGTAAAGGATCTTCCTCCAATTGTCTGATAGATAAAGCTATCCTTGACTTTGCCCTGTTTTTTTGTAAATGCAAAGTATGTACAATTATTTCAAAAAAAAATCTCATTCATGACAAAGCAGTCCAATATTTTATTTATTCCCCTATTAATAAGAAAAGAAATGTTTCCTCAACTTGAAGGAAAAATGATGCTTTGCTAAAACAGGCAACTAATTTAAGACCCTCACCTCCCTCTCCCAATCCCACTCCCCTATGAATTGTAAATGCTGCATATGTGAATGATTGTTAATTTGATAAGGTAGACAGTTAGCAAGAAAAATCTCCTTAGTCATCACACCCTTTAGCCCTAATGTATACCAAGTTGCCAACTGACTCTACTGATAAAGTGATAAGTGACAACTTCCATACATGATTCTATGATACATCCACTCAACATTTTGGACCAAAGTTTCATACCATTTCTATTTTGACGATAAAGTATGACATGAGAATTACTTCATCAAGAATCAAGACACACATTAACAAGTGTGCACAGAGCTCAATAAGGTCCTAGAAAGTACTCACGTATCAATGTTCACAACTATGACCTTGACAGCGTCTCCTTCGTTTAGAAAATCCTGGACGTCTTGGACAAGATCCCAAGACACCTCGGAGATATGTACAAGACCAGTAAGATGATATAGTCCTGTAGAGTGTAGCTGTTGTCAGAAACTCCACAATGAATAGCTAGCCAAGAAAATGTGCTGCCACTAGCCAATAAGTACCATCAGGAAATCGCAGGTGAACAAATGCACCATAGGGGAACACTGAGCCCACAATTCCATCATAGATGTCGCCAATCTTTATTTGGGAAGAGTACGTTGACCAACTAGCATCCTTCTCAGAGAAGACAAGTTTCCTTTCCTCCTCATTCACTTCAGCCACCTAGAGCAATTAGATTGAGCTTCTTAATAAAATTAGATCGACAAAACCCTAAAATCTTGACCTCATTTCATTCAATTTGCAGACTAATTTTGTCAGGCAGAAACATGTTTTGTTTATGATGCAGGAAATATGTTATACAGAAATATACAGCACATACGAACGGGAGTTTTAGCACATCCTTAGGTTACAATGAAAGTAGCTACAGACAGCTGCACAACAGAACCAGAAGTTGCAATGGAGAAGGCAAAGAGAAGCCATTTACCTTGACAGAAATGGACGTTCCTACTAGGTCTTTCGTAATATCTTGGATGGGCTTTTTGGGGTCTGCAAGCTTAGCTATACAATCAAACACTACCTCGTACTTACGGGCAACCACAAAATGCTTACAGAAACCTGAATAGAGAAGAGACAAGAAAAAGCAGCCGTACCTTTACACCAGTGCGCGGGGCTGAGGAGAGGGTTGGGCACGAACCCCTGCAGGGAGTTGAACCTGACAATGAGCCCACCGCTGTTGGCCCTCAGCACCGGCAGCGTGAAGATCCTCCCCTGGTCCTTACCCGCGCGCGCGGCTTCCCAGTCCGCAGTGAACTGCAGGAGACACAGAGCGAGCTTCCTCAATCGACCCTCAACGTCGGCATTTCATCGAGCAGCAGACGAGCCGAGCCGAGCCGCGCGATCCAGAAGCCAGCAGGCGAGAAGAGGGTAGCTAGGGCCCACGAAACGAACCTGCGGCAGGCGCGCCTCGTCGACCGGGGAAGCCGAGGCGTATCCCTGGTCGGCGGGGGCGCCGGTTCCCTCGGCGGTCGCGGAGAGCAGCAGGGCCGGTGGTGCAGGCGGGCAGGGAAGAGGAGGAAGGGGACTGGGCTCCTCCGGGCGGAAGCGGGGAAGGCCGCGAGCGAAGGCCCCGGCCTGAGGGACACCGCCAGCATTGCGCTCGCGCGTGGGAGGGGGCGGGGGCGGGGGCGTAGCTGCCGGCGGTGGTGGTGGGCGGTGGCGGTGGCGGTGGCGCGGGGGGGAGAGAATCAGAGGAGCGAAACGAGTGGAGGTGAGAGGGGAGGCGCGAGCTGATTCTGATTCGAGTGGGCTGGGCTGCGCTGCGATGGGTGGACACGTGGCTCTTGAGCGTTCAGACACGTGGACGGGTACATTTGGCCCATCTTCTCGGATTGATTTGAATGAACAATGAAGTAGAGGGGGGAAAAAAATCTTATCCACACGATTGTACTTGTACCTGTTAGAAGGTTCGGCTCAGGAAGCTCAAAATGTCACGGATTGGTACCCTGTTCACTATCTCCAATCAAAAAGTCATCCCGTATTTTATTGAGTCTTTTCCTTCAGCGTCATTATCATAATTCCTCTCATGTTACTGAAAAAATTCAAAGCTCTCTAGCCTTTTTATTACTACCTCCATTTTCTTTTATAAGGCGCAGCTGGATATAACATAGTCTCAAAATTACACTTTGATCATTTTATTTATTTTATATTATATTGTTTCTATTTTTTTTTGAAATAAAAGGCAGGAGCTCTGTCGCTCAATTAAGATGGGAAAAAAGGTTCATGTACAAATGGCAGCTGTTTGTTCCTGTTTGTAAAGTTACGGTAATTGGATAGTACATTTGATCGCAAAATCTAACAGTATAAAGTTTTTATTATAATAGGTTAAAATTGTTAGCCAAATTATTGATCAAATGTTTTAAAGTTTAAATTTTGATAGACGTGTGCATCTTATAAAAGAATACAGAGGGAGTATCTTACTTCGGACTGCTAGTTGAAATCAACTAGTTGACATATAACATGGCATCCCGCATTTTTTTAATGCGTGACACCGCATGCTCATTTCCTACTGACAGCAGTTAATAGAGCACCGAAATGATGCTTTTTCTCTATAAGAAGAATGCATAAAAGATTTCCTTACCCGGGTAAATGAACAAATGTCGCCACGCATAAATGAACGAACTAATACGAACTAATAAATGAACGAACTAATACAACAAGCACGCACCCCACTGTAATGAGGTGGTGTAAATATAGCTATAAGACATTATAAATGTATTTAAAAAAGTCTGATTATTGGAGGGACTAAAACAACCGGTTGTTGGTTAAATAGTTCCTTATTTTTACCTGTGGGCGTACGTACTGTACATGTAAAGTCCATATCCGGTACTTGTTGCACTCAAATCGGGAGATATATATATATATATATATATAATAATAATAATAATAATAATAATAATAAATAACTGGCCGGCTGGATGATGGAGAGGATGATCATGCATGCCAGACGCAGACGGACGATGAATGAATGAGAATGATGAATATATATGCTTCCGGATCGGAGATGTCGATCGATCCATCCCTGTCGATCATGGCCCCCGGCCGTACGTCCAACGATCCATCTGCTGTTGATCAGGAGGATGATGCCTCGATCCCAGCAATTGGAAAACGAAGCCTCTCTGCATGGAATTGGATAAAGATGCCTCAAAAGCGGGCGGCAGGCATGCATGATGCCTCGATCGACAGCCGCCGGCAGCAGCAGGCCAGGCCAGGAGTAGTGGAAGCTCAGCGATCGAAATGGCCAAATGGGCACGTACTAGGCAAAGCCTACTAGGTAAACGATCGTAAATTTTCAGTCAGGAATAATGTTTTTTTTTCACATCAAATCAGCCAGCAGTAAATAATTCATGATACGATACAGCCTCCTGAACAAGCTGCAAGTCGTTTTCTGCTGCAGCTTGCATTGCGTGCAGCAGTAACGACCGAGCGAGTCACGACGATCGATGACAAGTGACAAGCACGCACCCCCACTGTATATATACGTGCATAGATATTGGTGTAGTCCTATATATAGCTCTGGTTTAGTTCGCAAAATAGTATTTTTTATAATAGTGTTCAAACAGTTTATCAAAACGAGACTACCAATTTTCATTCGATGTGATAGAGATCTTGTAACAACTTTTTGTTAAAATTGAAACTAAACAAGGCGATAGTACTAATACAAACAGTTTATTGAGACTACCAATTTTCCATACTGTTTATTTCAATCACCAATTCACCATACTAATAAATGACATACTAAAACAATAGTTCTAGAAAAAGAATAGTCAAAAACAATAGTGTGGAACGTTACCTAAACAAATGCACAGTAGTACAAGCCAAGAAATTTAATTAAAATTCTTTATTTTGCACGTGAGATTAGAATCTGGTGCGATCGGGATCAGGCAGAGGAGCTCCACTGGCTGGCCCTCTCGAAGCCGTTCTTGCCGTAGTAGTAATCCTCCATGGCCTGCTGGATCTCGGCGCGCGAGTTCATGACGAAGGGCCCGTGCTGCACCACAGGCTCACCAAGCGGCTTCCCAGCGACGAGCACGAACCTCAGCGACCTGTCAGACCTATTCCACACGCTGAGCCCGTCGCCGGGGCCGAGCACGAGGCAGTGGTGCGCGGTGGTCGGCGCGGCCTTCTCCCGCCCGAACACGCCCTCGCCCTCGACGACGTAGACGAAGGCGTTCCACCCCTCCGGCACCGGCTGGTGCAGGCGGGACCCGGGGCGCATGGTGAAGTCGACGTACATGGTGGGAGTCCGCGTGTACACGGGGGACGCCGCGCCGAGGGCCTCCCCGGCGATGACCCGCGCCTCCACGCCGTCCACCTCCGCGCGGCTGATGTCCTTGCTCTCCAGCTCCTGGTACCGCGGCTCGATCACCTTGTCTTTGGAGGAGAGGTTGATCCAGAGCTGCAGGCCCTTCTGCACGCCGTCCCCCGCCGGCATCTCCGAGTGCACGATGCCACGCCCCGCCGTCATCCATTGGACGTCGCCTGTTTTGATGGTTCCCTTGTGGCCAGCGAAGTCCTGGTGGGTGAAGGCCCCCTGCAGCAACAACCGGAACCAGAAGGGGACGTTTCAGCGAACAGCTCGCGGGCGTTGAGGAGAAGAGAAGCGTTGAGCAGACGCAACGCACCTCGAGCATGTAGGTGACGGTCTCGAATCCTCTGTGCGGGTGGTCGGGGAATCCGGCGGGCTTGGAGACTGCGAGACGAATCGAGAGAGATAGAGGTGAGCAAACAGCAGGAAGCTCGAAGAAGCCGGCCGGGCGAGCAGGAAAATTCCGACGATCCGAGTGCGAATTCGCAGAAAATTTGGGCGCAAATAGAGCAGCACCTGAGAATTTGTCGAGCAGGAGGAAGGGATCCAGGCTCCGGAGTTCATGCCTGCATACAAGCACGCGCAAGGCGGCGAGGACAAGTCAACGACTGATCGAGGAGAGAAGGAGACGGACGGAATCGGACCATCTGCCAGCTTGCGTACCTGCCGATGCTCCTGCGGACGGTGGCGCCCTGCCCCTCGGGCTGCGACTCCGCGAGGACCTTCTTGACCACGGCCCTGGGCTTCTCGAACGGCGCCGCGGGCGAAGCAGAGTCGGAAGCAGAGGACGACATGATCCGAGGCCGAGCTGGGGGCAACAAGACGGAGCTGGGGATCAAGACAAAGGAGAGGGCAAGGAGAAGGAGGATCACGAGGAGCAGGAAGGAGCTGCTTTTGGGTGGTGCTAGTAGTACTTGTTCGGCGGCGGTGGTGGGCTGTGTTGTTGCCGAGCCCGGCGATGGCGGAGGTATAAATAGCAGCAGGGGAGGAGGCCAGGCCCAGGTGCTGCCTCAGCCTCATCATCGTCGTCGTCATCGCGGCCTCAGCTCGTGTTGGTGTTGGTTCGTGTCCGTCTGGCCGCGGAGATGGGACGCCACTAGAAATACCCCAGGCGTGGTTGACCACGACGGCCGGCTTTGTGATACGGTGCGTAAAAAAAAGGTTGAGGCGGGGTGGTTGACCGGCGCGTGCGGCTGCGGCAGCCCAGGCTGCGCGTGGGAGTTCCATCAGGTGGACGCGGGCAATCTGGAGGTTGCAGACGACGCGCTTGCGCACGCGGGGCGTCATGCCGGTGCTGCCGTCACGCTGCCGCCAGCGTTATGCAATCCTCACTCAAATCAGCATCACCCTGATCTACTTACCAAAAGAATGTTTACAAAAAAACGATTATTATTACTATGATACTGAACAAATGATACTGTATTAGGAAATCCGATAATATACTTCTGCAATATAAATCTATTTATCTGTTCATAATGGCCAAAAGGAATGTTTTAAATCTATTTGTCTATTTATATATACTGAGCAAATATTGTTAATTAATCATATACTATTTTTTAATCTATGTATTTATCTATATTTGGAAACCCAAAATAATGTTTAAAAATTACATTTTCCCAGCCCCTTTGAACAACTGTGCCGTTGACATTGAGCATTGTTCCCTGCAAAAACCAGAACATTCTAACAATGGCTGCAAAATAATAGAGGCAGTGGTTTGGGTTACTAAACTTTAGGAGCTACTAAATGGTTTAGTCATTTTTAGTAACTTCAGAGTTACTAGAAAGGACTAAAGTCCTTTTAGTCACATTTAGTCATAGTGTTTGACAAAAAAGTTATTAAAGAAACTAAAAGCTACTAAATTTAAGAGCTACTAGGTGAACCAAACATGCCCTAAGATGTACTACTGCACAGCAAAAGAAAGAACCCAGACAAAGTAAACCAAGGAAAGAAAATTAAGCATATTATTAGAGCTATATTAATTGCACATCAAATAAGGTTAACAACACATGGAAATTATAAACTGCAATATGTTAACGATGTACGTCCACCATGAGTCAATTCATCAACATAGTATACATCATAGTAATGAATAAGTCCTACTGAGGACACCATGGCCCTGGATTCGTTGGATGCGAACTTGTACTGAATTGTTGTGACACACACCTGGCCAAATTTAGTTTAACACCCCTGTTACACACACACCTGGCAGGTACCACACCTTTGTTCCCTACTACTTAGTAGCACGTACTTCCTCTGTCCTAAATTATTTATCGCTTTAGTTTCCATGCTGTAAGTTTGACTTGATTTGTAGAAAATACGTACAACATTTGTATCTCTAAATAAATTTATTAAAAAATTAGATTCAAAAATCTTTTCAATGATACCAATTATATACCATAAATATTAATATTTTTTATTTATCATATATTTTATCAAAGTTGTTTCTCCAGGAAATGAAAACAACATATATTTTGGGATAGGGGTAGTTATATTATGACAATGGCAGACATCTTTGCGGTAGAAATTCCACCATCATTTACTAGAGTTTTATGTCTGTGGTAGCAGGGAATGTATGGTTACTGTGACATGACACGAGAAAATCATACACAATCTTCAATGTCTTTACTAAAACGTTAACAAGCAACTTTAGATTCAAAACTCCATTAACCAAAATGATAGGAAAAGATGATACCTAAATCACGATGCCTTCTGTTAGTGGAAGTAGCACTTGGTTTTAAGAACAAAAATCAGATACACACTATATATGAGCCCAAGAAGTCAAATCTCACAATAGCTACAAATAAGGGTAATATCGAAAGACAATGCTCAATATATAATATACTTGGTATAAAGGATATGACCTTAGACAGCAAACAGCGGAAAGATAACTCTGATCTTCGGGTGAAAACTCTAATTCCACAGAGATAACTGACTGGTTGATCACAAGCCTAATTCCTCCAAACTCTAGCAATCTGGTACCCATCCGGAATTTTTATCTAAATAATTGAAAAATAAAGCAAGCGTAAGTACATGTCGTACTCAACAAATATAACATGGGGTTCATGAGGCTCAAAAGGCTGACACTGATTTAACTGCGATTAGCTTTTAATTGTTACAATTTTAACATAAGAGTAGGAACAAGTTAATCACAAACCCATATAAATACATGATCAGGTAAACATGAATAATGAATAGCATAAACAGTAATCATTAGTGAGCATTTTTGTCATTAGTATCATCAGTGTTCATCATCTATTCCGTAAGGGTCCAAGGTCGCTCGTGACCGTGAGCACGACTGATATACCAGTTTTACACTCTGCAGAGGTTGTACACTTTCACTGTGAGTCGTGATTTACCCTTTCGTCCGAGACGGCCAACCTCTTGACCCACTACCAAGGAAGGTCGGTAGGGTTCACTATGAAGCCTTTCAAAAGTTCGTCTAACAAGTTAGAGCCATTAGATTCACTCGGCAAACAGATATAGAGCCCCCTTCCCGATGGCACAATGACGCGCAGCCTATACACAAAGGGACAAAGGCCGCACTATACCCGATTCGGCAAGCTATTCTTATACCAATAAAGGTAACCACTAACAAGCTAGAAAATATCATCATACTGAGCTAAAGCCAGAGCCATATAGTCCTCACAGCTGTACTATAAGTTCCGAATGTTCGTTTACAAATAAGTTCTTAGAAAGAAGAATCTAGAGCACCATAAAAATAGCCCAATGCTCTAGCCCCTTGTTCCATGTTGTTAAAAAGCATCTTTTAGTGTTTATAGCATATTCCATTAGTCAAGTTACAAGATCATGGTCTTTAATTGAGCACTAGCATCATACTACCTAATACATAAACCCATAGGTATCAAGGTACAGGGTAACAAAGTACTAGAAAATCCTTAGTGTTAGTCAAGGTAGACACATGCAGCATGAATTAAATGATTAAAGGTGTATAGGACAGCAAGAAAGATCCCATGTTATACTTGCCCTAAACTCAGATCATTCTTCAAGTCGAAACCTTCAACCAATTGCTTCTCGATTCACCACGTATAGCTCACCGACCGAACATGATCATAAAGCACCACACAAGTATTCATGCAATCATACACAAAGCAAACAATAAAACTAAATTAGAATAGTACACCAGACAATAAAAAGGTTTGAAAACTAATCTACACATTGCTACAAGCACACAGATGCGAAAAGCACTCTAATCGGAGCTATAACGAAAAAGTTATGAATTTAACAAGATTTTCTTTAATAAAATAATAGATTAAATCTAACCTCGAATTTTAAAAGTTGAAAATGTATTTAACAGTAGGATGAACATATAAATTACGCAATTATGAATCTAACGCAACTTGAAAGGATCAAATCGGAGTTAAAATGGAGAAGTTATGACCTAAACAAGGTAGTGGCAAAACTGTGATTTCTAGAACTTATTTTTGAATTAAAACAAATCAAAATACGGTTTTTAAAACAGACTAGGGACTACGGGTACAAATAAGAAGAAGGATATGGGCTCTTTAGCAAATGTTCCAGACCGAAGGCGTACCGACCAATCTCGATCGTTGGATCTAACTTGGATGGCACATATTAGATCGGCAGGGAACGGCTGCCGGTGGCGACACAGACAGCGGCGGCGTGAAAGGTCCTTGTTGGTTTTGGTAATTGAGTGACAACCTAGGTGGACTAATTGTGTTTATGTGAACACTGTGAGATTAGTCGAGGGCTCCAAGAGAGTGAGGAAGGCATGCCATGGAGGTGAAAATGGTGGAGATGTTGCAAAGCTCACACATGGATGATGAAGGAGCTTATTGCACATGAGACATGACATTGAGTCATGTGATCAAGGTGGTTTTCAAGACAATACTTGGCTTGATGGAGACGGTTGCAAGCGTGAAAAGTCAAAGATGGAGGATGGACCAGACTAGAGGGGGTGAATAGTCTTTTCTAAACTTAATCGTGTCCGGCTAACCGATATAAATGCGAAATTAAAACAATCGGTGAAGTCAAGACTACATGAACTATATATGCTCACTAGCACCTTGCAAAGATACTAATTATACAACTAAGGTCGTGTTGGTGGCTAGCTAGAGCTCTCCTGAAAACAATTATAGAAGCAAGGTCACACATAACCTGCCACATTTAGTACTTTAAGCAACAAGAGAAGTCCTACACATGCTTTAAGATAAAGCACAAAGCCAACTAAGGTAAACTAGCAAAGCTCAATAACAAGGCAATCAATGCCACTAATTAGAGAGCGCTAAATACTTAGCATACACAAACTAAGCAATGTGACTAACAAAGTTACTAAAAACCAAATTAGGGAAATGATTGTGAAGCTACTTCTACACACACAAGCAAGAAGGTAACTAGTAAGTTGGCACAAGCTAACTAATTACAAGAGCAACTACACGGGGTGAGATGGATATAAAAAAAATAAGAAAGCTATTTTGTAATGGGGATGCAAATCAACGGGAAGAACAAGGTTGACACGATGAAGGGTGATGAGTTCACGTGTTTGCCAACATGCTAGTCCCTGGCGTGTCAACCGCTCACTTGGTGGTTCAATGCGGCTAATTAGCATCACCCGCTAAGCCCGCGTCGTCGGGCACCGCAAGAACCTACCCCTTTAGTGAGGGTAGTTCAATGACACGCTTTACTAAAGTTGCTCGAGGTCAAGCACTTCTCTGAAGCGCCGGACAAGCTTCTTGCGGGCTTCCGACGGAGACCACCACCAAGTCAAGTCTAGGAGGTGGCAACCTCCAAGTAGTAACAAGCACCAGCGGCTTGCAACACGACCACCTAGTGCCACTCGATGCAACCTCACGATGCAATCGCACTAGAATCGCTCACTCACACAATCGAATGATCACTATCAAGTATATGATGTGATGGAGGCTCCCAAGCACTCACAAGCATGGACACTAAGTCCCTTTAGGTGCTCCACCACAGCCATGGCGAAGGCCACTTCATATTATAGTGTGAGTGGCTAAACTAGCCGTTACCCCTTCATCGTGAGCAGCGGTCGGGCCGACACTAGGTGATCGTGTTGACCGAGCCGGGTGGACCTCAAAGACATCCGGTCGCCCATGGAGGTTGCCACGTGTCCCGGTTCCAACGGTCACTTGGTGGTGGACGCGCAAGAGCTTTCAAGCCGACCGGACGCTGAACCCTAGTCCGGTCGTTTCAAGAGAAGTGCTTGTGAGGGGCATTGTGCGGTCACACTTGATCGGGGCCCGTCGGTCACACTCCAACTCTAGTAAAGCGTGTCATTGAGCGGACCTTACTCAAGGGGTCCGGTGCATTCAGATCGGCGTCCGGTCGGTTGACCGATGCAAGATCTTCGCGGGTAATGTTTTCACTTCTAACTTCATCACCCTTGCTCCAATGTGCTAACCACAAGAACTTGCAGGGCGCAATAGAAAATGGGCATTCTATTGAACCCAAAGCGTTGAATCCCACCCATCTCACCCTTGCAAACACTTCCCTCCTTTGTAAATATGCCAACACCACCAAGTGTACACCACCATGTGTATATGTGTTAACATTTTCACAATCATTTCCCAAAGGATGTTAGCCACTAGTTACCTTCTTGCTCGATCTTAGCGACAATGCAAAGTTAGATCCTTTCGAGTGGCTAATTTAGATTAGTAACCGATATTAAACAAGTTTGCCCTCTTGATAGTAGCTAAGCCATCTATCCTAAATTAGGTCATTGGTTGCCTTGTTATTGAGCTTTGCTAGTGAAATGAAATGCCCTAGGTTATGCTTTGCTTACTGATTCCATTTCATCTCCTTCAATGTCGATGTTGCAAGTACGATCAACAATGATATGATCCACTTCATATCATCATTTGATCATATTGGTTCATCGATCTTGACTCTACTTAGTTTCATAATTAGTATCTTGGCAAGGTGCTAGTGAGCAAGTCTTGCTCAGTCTTTCACCGCCACGTTGTCCATCACTCCAAAGCCTTTGACTTGCCCTTCACGCGCTTTTAACCGATCCATCAAAAAGTCTTGTCTTGATCTTCTCCACCTTGATCACATGACTCAATGTCATATCTCATGTGCGTTAAGCTCCTTCATCATGGGATGTGAGCTTTGCAACATCTCTAAGCCATTTTCACCTTCATGACATATGTTGCTCACACACATGTACCTATGGACTAATTACCTGTGTATCTTATATAAACACAATTAGTCCACCTAGGTTGTCACTCAATTACCAAAACCAACAAGGACCTTTCAACGGGGTGACCGCGCACGAGGCTAGATGGAGGCTCCGAGTGCTCGGGTTCGATATTTAAGGGACGAAGCAACTTGGAGCGCACGACACGACACGGAGGCAGGACGAAGCAACTTGGAGGGGACGACGGAGGTAGGAGACGACCGCCCGGTGGGTCCCGAATGACAGTGATGGTAGGAGGCGACCGCTCGGCGGGGAGGGAGGAGAGCGCGGGCGACTCGGCTGCTTGCTGGGAGGGAAACGGCGCGCGGGCCGGTGCGGTGCTGGGCCGCGGGAGATGACGGGGAAGGAAGCAGGCCGGCTGGTCTACGGGCCGAGATGGAGGAAAAGGGAATGGCCGAGCTAGGCCTGCGCGGAATGGAGGGAGGAAAGGAGTGAGTGGCCTTCGGGCCAAAACAGAGAGGGAGTTTTTTTTTTTTTTTTTTCAAAAGCCCTTTTCAAGTCATTTCAAAAATGTTTGAAATCTTTTTAAACTTTGTTCAAAGCTACCCATTACAATAAATTCAATGCACCAGCATGTATGCACAAATAAGTTGCTAAACCTTATATTTGATTTTAAATTTTAACAAAGTTATTATTTTTTCTAAATTTGCATGCTTACAAAATATATAATTAAATCATTTTAGCCTATTTTAAAAACATACAATTTTTAGGGTGTTATGTTGGAATATTGCCTGAAATCAGCCATTAGTTTCTGCACCATTTCAGTAGTTCGTCGCACTCCATGGTAAGATTCAGTAGCCATGTCCGGGTGACTTTGATCATCACAGCTTAAGTATGTTGCACAATCTGTGCCCTTTACCTTTGGCAAAAATAAATACAAAAAATCAATATACTGGAAGGTACCATGGACACAAGTAGGACAGCATGACCAATGCAGTTCATAAGACTAATATCACAGGGAACATCAGATTCCAACTGTAAGAACAAAGGCAAATGGATAAACTTAACATGCCCTGCCACTGAAAGAGACAAATCTTAGTCATTAGATTCCAACTGTAAGAACAAAGGCAAATGGATGTCCCATTCGGCTTGCTGAATCTTGGTTGAAAAACATTGTTCTGACTGAAATATTGTGAAAAAAACATTGTTCCGGCTGAAAAAAGAAGCCGAATAAGTCGGATATAAGGTAAGCTGAACGGGGCCTAATGCTGTAATTTTAGAATCTTACTTTCATCTGTTCTAACCGAAAGGAAGAGCTGCTTCTTTCTCCCCCCTCAGAAACAGGTTTGTTGATAAACTAATATTAGTTAAATAGTAATATATATTTTCATAATAATATATCCAGCTATCTATTTATACTATACAAATGTTAATCCTATTTTATTAAATAATAGTCAAATCTAGGATTGCAATATTTTTAGGGGGCAGGGAGTTGTATTCTTCAGTATCCAAGTTCAAACACAACTAACAATCAGTCAATTCAGCAATTAATCAATCCATTAGTAGTTTACTTTTCCTGATCTCCATGAGTGTCGACTATACCTTCTAGAATAACTAAACCAAACCACAAATAAAGAAAGCAGCGACTAAACATGCGACAGGGAAAGACAAATCATCAGCCCTAGTCATGAATCACGAGTATGCTATCAAATCAAATCAAAAGGGGTTGCCATCGAAAGAGATATCAAACCAAAACTCAAAAGGCAACAACGATATTTAAGCAAAAGAAACTTAATAAAAATTTTATACCATCCGTTATAAAATCGAGGAGCACCTCCTCCATGTTTTATTATTATTCTTTTGGTGAGAGGCTGCAGCACTTCCTCACCAAAAGAATAATAATAAAACGAAGCAGCAACTAATCAGAAGAACTAGGACTGAGCAGGAGCTGGAGCGGGGGCGGGGGCCGTAGCGGAGGCGGCCGCGGGAGCTGCAGCCGGTGCGGCAGCTCGGGCCGGAGCAGAGGCGGGTAGCGGCGGGAACAAGTTCATGTCCTCGACGACGATGGACTGGGGGGCAGGGGAACGGCCGTTGCCGGAGTAGCCGCGTCCCCGAGGCCGGTAGTAGTTGTCGTTGCCTGGGCGGCGCTGGTAGCCTCCGTGCTGCTGCTGGTACCCACCGCCGTTGCCGCCCTGGTTGTGGTACCCGCCATTGCCTTGGTACCCGCCGTTGCCCCGGTCGCTGTAGCCGTCGCCGCGGCGACCAGAGTAGTCGCCCCTCGGAGCACCGTAGCCGCCGTCGCCGCGGCCACCAGAGTAGTCGCCCCTCGGAGCACCGTAGCCGCCGTCGCCGCGGCCACCAGAGTAGCCGCCCCTCGGAGCACCGTTGCCGTGGTTGCCAGCTTCATTCTGGGCCGCCCTGCCATTGTCGCCACCCCGACCGGCAGGAACCCGCGAGTCGGTGCTGTTGTCGCGTCTGCGGCCCTGGAAACTGCCGCCATTGAAGCGGCCACGAGGAGCCCCGCCACCATTGGAAGAGCCATCTTCCAGGATAACAATGCGCCTTGGTGGCGCAAAGGAGAGATCTTTCAACGGGATGACGACCTGAAATCATGTTTCTGTTCAGATGCCATACTTAAGAAAATAACAATGTTAATACAAGAATGAAGAGGAAACAAAGCAATGATACCTTCTTAGGCTTGGCTGCATCAGCGTCCTTTGCCTCGGGCTGAGCCTTTTCTTCCTTCTTGCTAGTCTCCTTAGCCTTGTTCTGAACCTTTTCTGCCTTCATGACAGCTTCCTCATCATCCAGCTTCTTCTTCTCCAACATCTGCAGGCCCTTAAATTCCTCTGCAGAGACCTTCCTCTGCTCAGTTCCTGAGACATCCTCCGAGGACTTCTTTTTCTCTTGACGAATCTTCTCATACTCAGCAAGGGTCTGTGAAAGATTGAACATCAGTGTCAATTTGGAAATCAAGAAAGTTGAAAGAAACCTAATTAAATGGCATGTCTTTCCATCAAAGAACTATGCTGCTGGAGCAGAGGGGGTCACCTTTTTCTCTTCCTCCCTAGGATAGTTTGCCGGTGGTTCCTTGTCAATCTTCTTTGAAACATCAGCCTCGGATGAATCTTGTTTCTTTGCCTTATCAACTTCATTGCCACCGTTCTTAGCATTCTTCCTCTTCTTCCTTTTCTCGGAGCCATTGAGCTTCTGCTTTTGAAACTTACCTTGTCCGTTGTTACTTGCAGCAGCCCTGGCAAAAAAGATTAAACATTGATTTGCTTTTGTGCAATACAATAATCTACAGAGTTGCAAGAGGAAGATTCAAATTTGCATAGAACTTACACTGCAGCAGAAGATTTTTCTGAACCAGAGACAGGCGCAGCATCCGCATTAGCAGGAGTGGCGGCTGGCTTCTTCTCTACAGGCTTGTGCTCAGCCTCCGAGCCAGCATCAGAGGTGACCTTCTCCTCAGGCTTGTGATCAGCCTCTGTACCAGCATCAGAGGATGGCTGCTTAGCTACCCACTTCTGAACCTTCCTGACCTCAGGATATCCCTGCCTGCCACCATTATTGTTGTAGGCATAGCCTTCCTCTACCTGCCTCTCATGGTACACATAGGCTCCATGAGCATGAACATCTGGCTCACCATCGTGATAGCTGGGTACACTGCCATGGCCATCACTGTTATAGCCGCTATTGAAATTGTCAACACCGGCATTGTCGTTGCCCTGAACACTTTCCCCCTGATTGGGGACTTGGGGCTCTTCTTCGTCACCACCCACCAGAGGAAATCCATGCTCCAAATAAAACTCTTTCCTCAACGGCCTCAACCTTGCTTCCTCCTCCCTCAGCTTCTTCTGCTGCTGCCTCAGCAGCCTTTGCTCCTCCGACAACTGCATGAGACGGAGCTCCCTTTGCTCCTCCGACAACTGAATGAGATGGACTCCATTCTCTCCTTTCTCCTTCAGCTTTGTTTCCTGCCCCCTCAGCTTTATCAATGCATCTCTCAACCTCTTCAGCTCGTGCTCAATATTTCTTATACCTGACATCCAACAAGAAAACAGCAGGATGAGACACAAATCGAAGTGTGGCAAATAATAGAAACTATGAAACGTGTAATGGCAACTATAAGATAACAAAGCTAACAACGCAAAGATTTATAACAACCATAAGAAAACAAAGGTAAACCAGCAATCAGTAATGGCATTATCCCCCAATCAGTACTGGCAACCAAAATAATAGCTTTATCCCCCAATCAGTAATGGCAACCATTAAGATAACAGCTTTACTATTTACGTTAAAATAAATAAACTGAACAAAGAACATAGACACACATTATTAACAATACTAACACAACATGAGATAGTTTAGATTCAAAGATTAGACACGCGTTATTAACAATACTAATATATTATATAGATTAGATTAGATTAGATTAGATACAAAGATCAGAATTAGGAATAATCAATAACTAAAGATTGGAATTCGGGATAACAATTGAAACTAGATTACAGTGATGAATCGGAACGACCACATGACATCTGATAGACACAGTTACACAGTACATAATAGATTTACACAAATTAGACATGTAAAGATTGAACAATGAATACGAATCTATCTACCATGCTAACAGGGGAAGGAACTAACTCTACAGAGATCGAACAATGAGAACGAACCTATATAAGCATCTATAACCAGTCACAGCATGTCCAGCAACCAAAATAAACTAATCTCCCTACTCTGGGGACAAGATCGCAACAAGAAAGCACGCACGCAGCACGATCGTCTATAGTAATCGGATCCACACGGCGCAGCACGCAAAAAGAATGTCCATCCAACCAAACTAGACGAAAGGAACAGAAGGAAGATCGGGACTTGGGAACCGGCCGGTCAGCCGGACGGGAGATTGAGGTAGGGTACGTATGCACGTACCATTGTCGTGCTGAAGCTTGAAGAAGTAGAGGTTCTTGTGCACGGCCTTCTCCTTCTCGGTGGTCCCGGGGGCGGCGGACTCGGCGGCGGCGGCCTCGGCCTTCTTGGCGCGGGCGGCCTCGGCCTTGGCCTTGCCGACGACGACGGACACGGCGACGTCCCCGAGACTCGCCGTCCGCGAGCTCGAGCAGGCCGAAGTTGAAGCTGGCCATGGCGGTCGTAGTCGTCGCAGAGATCTCGATCGACGGCTGCGCGTCGCGCGGCTCGCCGCCGCCCTACTACTAGACCCTCAAACCCTAGCAGCAGTAACTGAAGCGAAGAGGCGGCGGCGGCGCGCGCTCGATGGCTGCTGTTCCCGGTGGAGTCGAGTCGAGTCGAGATCGAGAGGCTTTGGTTTGGTTAGGTTTGGCTGCCGATGGTGGAGGAGGCCACGGGGTGCCGCGCCGCGCGGTTTTATAGGGCCGGGCGGGACGGGCCGTTGGATCGCGAGCTGATGAGCAGGAGTCCAACTCGGATCGGAGCCCGTGATCCGCGCCGGATCCGCCGTTGATTGACTGCGCCACGGTTGCTGGATCGATGGATGGATGGATCACGTTTCACGTACGCGCACCGATATGATCGTCGTGTCGATCGGGTTCGGTCTGGTTACGTTTCCTTTTGTGTGTGTGAGACGATGATGAGGAAAAAAAAACGTAGATACGCGCCTGGCGTGGGTGTGTGGGTCTTCCAGAAGTTTCCAGCTCACTTATCAATTCGAGTTAGCGTCGTATATTAATATATATATTATAGATTTTCTTAATAATTAATAAAAAGATACAGTGCATTTATTTTTTTATTCAGCAATTAATCTATTATCTATTATCAATCATCGTCGTGGTCGTCATCAATCTAAATTTCCTAAAGCTACCCCACCCCCGCCCCCACCCTATACTGTAAAAAAAGTTTCTATTATATACAAAAAAATTGTTTCTGAAATAAAAAATATACAGCAAAAAAAACCACATGAAACAGATCAGGCACAGGCAAGGGCTTTGCTTACGACAAGAAAAAAAAAGATAGCTGTGGTGAACACAGGTGTTGCAATATAAGATGGATTTAATTGATTTCAAATGATCATGTCAAGATAACTATTCATCCTTCACTCGACGTGCGTTCTTGTTTCACCCAGTTCTGATACGAATCGGCCCTGTTCGTTTTACTGAAAAGTCAGGTTGAAAAATATTGTTCGTTGATTTGTTATAAGAGAAAAACATTGTACCATGGCTGATAAGCCAGACTGATAAGTTTAAGCGAACAAGGCATACGAAGTCTTCAAAGCTCATGCGTTCGCGTCCTACCCAATTCCAATATGAAAAAAATTTATGTGTCCGCATTCAATATAAAATCCTTGTAGCTCACACGTTCCCGTCCAATTATTAACACAGAAAAAATTGACCCCATACGAGACACGGGCATTTATTAGTCAAGGAAAAAAATCATGCCTGGGTTTCGGAAAAAAGAAGCCTTCCGTGAGCCTGCCTTTCTCTCTTCTCTCTCTAGACGAGATCTCTTTCCAGTTCCAAGTCAGTCCGACTGTATGCAAGTACGTACGTACATGTACATCGACACGTTGCAGCTTGCATGCAAGTGTCTGTATGAACGCAGGCAGGATCCGAACCATACGCCGTACAGGAGCCGCGACACCGGCCTGTGCCACGCCGTTCGATCCAAGTCCGGCCAAGAGAGAGAACGTCGGGCTACACAAACTCCGATCGATACGTACGGTTGCCGTTTCGTATACTCGGAAAAGGAAACTCTGATGGATTATATAGGCCCTTTGCTTCGTTGAAAAAACAAACTAAAATCTTTCCGATTGATCGGGTGTAAGAGAAAAACACAATTTTAATAAAAAAAGCTGAAAAGTACGATAGGAAGTAGATCGCGTCGTTGCCATGGCTGCGGCTGCGGGCGGCGGAACCAAGGCGAGCGCCAACATGTGGGCCGTGCTCGCCGACGAGGATCCTGGCGACAACGAGGCAGCCAAGATACGTGAGAGGGAGACCAAGGGCAGAGAAGCCGCGGAATACAAGCACCAGCAGACGGTGGTGGCGGCGGCCTCGGAGGCCGCTGTCGGCAACGCGCAGAGCAGCGCCGCTGGGACGTACGGCCGCAACGAGAAGAAGGCGCGGAACGAGCGCAGCAGGAAGCAGAGGAAGAAGCTGCAGCCGGTAGCCGGCGGCAGTGATACGCAGGCTGCTGCATGCGGCCGTGGCGGCGGTCCTCATCGCCTTCTGGGTGCATGCTGCTGCGCCTCCTCACACCGCAGCATGACCATAGCTGCTGCCAAGGCAATATTTATTATAACATGATCATAGCAGATTATCATTACTACCTCAATAGACAACATCAGTTTTTAATCACAGAGCAAGATCGCTGTAAACTTGGAGGGTTAGCAGTGCTTTTGAGTTTGACCAGTCACTTATTGCATGTACATAGTACATCTAATAATGCAGTAACCTTATTCATCACTTATCCAAAAAAAAACTTGTTTCAATCAGATGGGATGCATCCCTCTCGATTTTATTATTAGATAGATCTGCTATCAGAGCACACGCACGCGTTCCGCATCTCACTTGAACAACGCCTCGATCTCCCTTCTGTACTTGTCTGTCACTTTGTCCCTTCTTATTTTCATGGTGGGTGTCATCAGACCATTGTCAATCTGAACAGAAAATATTGTCAAGTTCCAAGCAACATAGTTTCTCGATTATTACAAATATACGACAGAGTGAAAACCTACCGTAAATGGGTCGTCGACGATCATAATTGGCCCGACACGGTAAGAGCAATGCGCGGTCCTGAAATTTATTAACAAAACAATTAAATGCTTCCTCTGATGATAGATGTCATCAATCAAACAGTCAAAATCATGAAATAGTGTCATGTGCACACAAAGAAAGACATCGTCCCAAAAACCCATGTTTGTTTGTAATCATTATATGAATCATCTCCCCATATCAATCAAAATCATGAAATAGTGTCACATGTGCCTCTTTTCAATTCTTTTCACCTGTTTTAGTATTTCCAACAGCAAGAAGAGTGAGACTGGGAGAGAGAGAAACAACAGAAGGGCGGGCAACTCTCACCAGGTTTTCAATTCATCATATAGCATGTTCATGACCTTATCTTTCGCTAGTTCGCCATTCTCACCAAGGGTGGACTTCCTTTTTGCTTTTGCCAGAACTTCATCATTGTTGGGAACAATTATGGCACCAAGACGCCGTTGATCCTATTCAGAGAGCAGTGGCAGGAACTTCGTGACATCAGTGGCACTAATCTAATTACCATTGCTATATTCAAATCTAATCTCATCGCCAGGAAATAAAATTGTTAAACGCATGAGCAATGCAGTAGCCATAACACCACAGTTTCAGATAATGACATGGGTTTTCTTCAGAATATTTCCCCTAGTTGCATCAAGAAAAAGATGTGTGCCCACACATAAAGGAGTCTGAATTGAGTGTAGTGATGATTATAGCTGGGCATATCTCTTACCTGGCCGATCACAACTATCTGATTAATCAAGTTACTCCTGCCGGCTGCTTCCTCGATCTCAGCAGGTTCAACATTTTCACCTACAAATGAGATGGTCAAGGTCAATAAAAAAGTTACATGATATCAACTAGATTTTCTGTGTGCAACATCAAAGACAAAACAGTAAGTTTCCTAACAGAATCATAAAAAAATGACAAAGAATATATCAAGGGCACAAAGAATATATGGAGGTTTACCCCTCTCAACCGGCTGGGCTTAGGAGGCGTGGAAAAAAAGAGAATAGGAGATCAATCTTGCTTAATTCATTCTTCCCTGCTTACAAGAATAAATAGCCAATGGCTCAACCAACTATGGAAGAATTCCCTAATTATAGGACTAACCAAAACAGCCTCTAATCCAATCCCTGATTTCTATCTGAAGTTGCCCTTTGGGCTGTGGAGAGAGGACTATTGTATCGCTTTTCATCCGTCCGCACATGACAATATTTATATAAAAAAGTACACATTCTGAAAAAGGAGAGAGTAATTATAATCTGAACCTGTAGAGAGGACTATTGTATCCTTCGCACGCCCTTCAAGAACAAGCATCCCTCCACACTTGCGACTTGGCCCTATGGCATGGTGAGGTACAATCCAACCTATATCTCCAGTGCTGAACCAACCCTCTTGGTCAAAAGCTTCATTTGTAGCCGATGGATTCTAATGACAAACAAAAAATTATGAAATGAGTCCTCCAGAAAGCTGAACACTCAAATAATATCATTAATCTGTGCATGGGGCCGAGACATGAATTCTAAGATTTAGGCTTGGTTCTTAATGTGCATTTCACTTTCGGCAATGTCTATCAACACCATACGGAAGGATTAATATATTAAGTAAAACATGAAAGTATAAGAATACTACAGCTCCTCATTTTGTCAGCTATTGTAGCAAAGATATCAGGCTGTTAATACCTCTGGAATATTCTTAGTTGACTTTAAGTACAGAGAATCTAAAATAGTGTTCCACAGAGAACTAATTAATCCTTAAGAAGAAAAATTATTAGTTCGTTTCTACCAAAAGAAAGTGTTAATTCGACGAGCAACATGTTAATGGAACATCAGCATTATAATTTAGATTTGGCAATTGATTGGTATCAGCAAAGAAAGAAGTAGAACCTTATAGTATCCCTTCATTACTTGCGGTCCTTTAATTTTCACAATCCCCTTTGAACCATCTGGGAGCACCTCACCAGTCTCTATGTCGAAAACCTTGATTTCAGTATGCTTTATTGGGTGGCCAATTGTCCCAAGAACCTTCAAGCAACATACACACTTAATGTTTAGCATTGTCGACTTATCGCATGTAACAAATAGGAAACAGTATGCAAGACTATCCAATTAGTAAATATATCCAATTAGTAAATAAAACAAGCATTTCCACATCTTACATTACAGAATGGTCGTCTAGCAGCAACAACAGGAGAAGTCTCAGTAAGACCATAGCCGTTTTGTACTTTAATGCCAATGGCCTGAAAGAGCAGAACATTGATAAAGCTACTGACATTTAAATAAGAAGTTTATTGATAACCCTTACCTCAAAAAATTTATCAACATGCATCGGAAGACTTCCACCGCCACTAATACCAGCCTGCAAGTTATCATGGAAACTAGGTGATTTATTAAGTATTTGTTAAGTGGGTGTTAATAAAGTTCAGGTTACACTTAAATTTGCAAGGATCATTGATGCAACACAGAAATAAGAATATAAGCAAATTAATATACCTTTGAAATCCCGATTGCTGAATGAATTTTCTTGTATACTAGAATCTTCGCCAGATTATGTAAAGGCCAGAGAAATGCAGCAATCAATCTTGCCCACAGCCACTTCATCATATAGGCGATAAATGATGGTTTGACAAGATTGTTTGATAAAACTGTTCCCTTTTCAATGGAGGAGAAAAACAGGAAAAGGAAACTGAGTCAAGCAAAGAAAGAGGCCACAAGTAGATAATAAAGAAAGGAACTTCAACTTCTAGAATGTCTGGTTATTAAAGAATAAGGAAACAAAGTATAGCATCTTTGAAGTAATTCCTTGCAGCTAATTAAAGCAAGTAGCTTATGACAATTCAGTGTCCGGACCTCATAGATCTTCTTTGCCTCCATATATAGTAAACTTATCTTTATAAGTGACAGAGCAATAATTTTTCGAGCAGCTGAACTGGATGAAATCTGCTTTTGAATTGAACTGCAGAAAGTCAAGAAGAGAATTAGGAAATGGGCAAAAGACTTTCCATAAAGTGTCACTACTCACTACTTGACCATTCAACGGGGAAAAAAATACACACATGTAGCCACTGCATGGGCACCAATGCATTAGTGAACTGAAGTGTCCCTATTAAGTGAACAATCATTTACTGTAGTACATAAGTGGTTTATCACTACACCGCCTCCATTCCTTTTTATTGATATTATTGAGTTAAACAGTTCCAAAATGTAACTGAACTTTTTTTTTTGTTTGTTGTTATAGGAATTAATAATTCTAATGCTACAGGTTTAATAATGACAACAACAACAACAAAGCCTTTAAGTCCCAAACAAGTTGGGGTAGGCTAGAGTTGAAACCCAGCAGAAGCAATCAAGATTCAGGCACGTGAATAGCTGTTTTCCAAGCACTCCTATCTAAGGCTAAGTCTTTGGGTATATTCCATCCTTTCAAGTCTCCTTTTATTGCCTCTACTCAAGTCAACTTCAATCTTCCTCTGCCTCTCTTCACGTTACTATCCTGGCTTAGGATTCCACTACGCACCGGTGCCTCTGGAGGTCTCTGTTGGACATGTCCAAACCATCTCAACCGGTGTTGGATAAGCTTTTCTTCAACTGGTGCTACCCCTAATCTATCATGTATATCATCGTTCCGAACTCGATCCCTTCTTGTATGACCGCAAATCCAACGCAACATACGCATTTCCGTGACACTTATCTGTTGAACATGTCGTCTTTAGGTTTAATAATGACAAATGTAGAGATATTTCAAACATTGATATATTTTAATATACTGATGGGCAAGTTTTAGTAAGTTTCTCCAGACAGAGACAACTATAAAGCATCAAATGAAACTGAAGGAGCAGAAGAACACTAACCTGTACAAGGTTTCATAGACCAGTGGTACTGATATAAAATAGTGAGGCTGGTAACGCTGCAAATCTTCCTATCAAAGAAGATAGAAGAAGATGTCAAAATGCCCTAAGGAACTTCAGCATCTTCTGCAACAGATAGAAAATAAAACTAGTGAACAACAACACAGATAGGACTGTAGAAACGAGTTCTGCAGATCACTGCATGCTAATACAAGATCTGGCCCATTTTGCAGCTTTTAGTAAGCTGATAAAAAATAATACAGCATATTCATACAGCAGAGCACACAAATACACTACGAGACCACATGAATTGCTCAATAGCATACTAGGTGCTTTATGCAGAGCAAGCATCCTTGATAACATTACATGGTGCTTAATGCAGAAACTAACTAACTAACTAACTATAGTAAGGTAATTTCCCTCAAACAAAACTACAGTAAGGTAATTTAAGTTGAAACATATATAAACCCTACCTTCAGGTACTTCACAGTAGTGTAAACTTGCTGGATCCCGTACGAGAAGATGAAGTACTCACAAGCACGCTCATATGCATGCCATGGTGGAAGCATGCTTAGGAACCTATCACCAGGTTCTGCCGGCACAATCTCCCACAGATTATTTATCTGTGGAACAGAACAGCATAAAATGCGTATGAACAGAAAACAATTTGGCTCAGATTTTTTAGCAGGGTGATTGAAATGTTTACAAGACATTTCAGAAAAAAACATAATATTAATTAGCATGAATGCTTATGCTCATATTATAGAGATTAGGAAATCACATCAAGATAAGGAAATAAAATAGTAACTAATACACATGGCATAGCATCGCTCAACAACCTTGGCTAAAAGTGTAATGTTTCTATCTTCACCTGATGTAAGAGATTTCGGTGGGTAAGCATAACGCCTTTTGGTGTGCCACTTGTTCCACTAGTATATATTAGTGTGGCCACATCTTCAGGACTAATAGTTTCAAAGACATCTTGCTGACCTGACAAATGAAAAACAACAGTTCTATTGACTATAACACAGTTTTGAAAAAAGCAGCTGTATATGCAAGTTGACTACCAGAAAATTGAACATTCAATTTCCATGATTTGCCTACAGGACTACAGGCATAATCAATCTACTGCATGTATGACAGTATCACTGAAGGGAAAAAGAATTAATGAAGGACGCAGTCCCTGTTGCATGATACAGCAGTGTATGTCATTGAAGAAAGGAATAATAATTTTCTAAAAAAAAAAGAAAATTCCTAAAGCATAACCATCTGAGATTCTTCACCTATTCCAATAATCTTGAAACAATAAGAAAGAAATGTTAGTGTTGTTCACAGATTCCAAATGAGCGCTGCTTAGCAAGAAAGAAATTAAGTGTTAAGCTTTTCATATAACTAATCGATCAGGTCAAGATTTAAATCAGAGATTTGGAAAGGACCATATACATCCTAAATATAGCAGGGCATGAACTACCCCCCCCCCCAAGGGTTGAAGTCCTCTTCGACTTGAATTTAGGTGCCTATTTTGTTGTCATTTACAATGTCGCCTAATTCCTCCTATATTGGTTGAATTTTCTTTTTTAATATCACAGGCACATAAATCAGCTGTTGGTGGTACAAGCTTGGATGCTCATGTTATGGGGGTATGAAGCCATCAAACATGATGAGAAATACTACAGGAAACATAGCGTATGAATTTATTATCCTTTACCGCTAGAAACAGTGACATAACAGAAAAATGTGCCCATAAAAAAATAAAACAACAGTTCTTAAGAAGTTGAACTGTCAGATTATTGTTAATTATGATATGTACCACATTATGATATCACACAGAAGGTACCTTGCTGGCCAGAAAGAAACAGTGCATTACGGCTTTCTCGACCAAGTTCGGTGATATCCTTGTAGCCATAAAGTGGTATATCCTTCACAGCTTGGCTATCTATGCATGATTTGTCACCCCAAAGTAGAACAATGAATCTTGTATTAATCCTTGATATGAAAGATTCTGCAAGCCGATTAAAGAATTGAGGACTGTCCACAACAAGTGCAATGCTGTGATGGGGAAAAACAATAAATCCATAATCACAACATGAAAGTAAAACATAAACAAATATAAGTACTAAATAAATATTATTCAGGTCCCGGGTTCGAGTCGCGGTCTCCTCGCATTGCACATGCGAGGGTAAGGCTTGCCACTGACACCCTTCCCCAGACCCCGCACAGAGCGGGAGCTCTCTGCACTGGGTACGCCCTTTAGACGCATAAACCACTGATAGTAGTATAATCTATCTGCCTACTTTTCTGGAGTTCATATGATACATAAGTTTATCAAGTTTGATGACTGTATGTGCTTTGCATAATTATAAGCTGTGCAATACAATGATATTTTGATTCAGCCAGCAGCCAATCTTATACTGAAATTGTGATGCTGTATTCCATTGTTAGGTTCAACTGTTCAAGACAAAACAATCCATTTAACATGTCTGGCATGCATATTTCTTGGGGTCAAGTTTCCGGCAACCAGCATATGATACCAATATTGCATTACAAATATTTTTGCCTGCCACAGATATCAAAAGGCAAGCAGAGCCACAAGCTGGAATATGTTTTGATATAGGGTTGACTATTTGATCCTTCTATTCATGAGGATACTGCAGTTCCAGTTCTTATGTTAACTGTAGCTGACAAACAAAAAGCCAAGTGTGCACCCACAGTGCATATCCCCACAAAGCATCTCAGTTCCCACCTTAATATTCCACAAAGCAGAATCAACGGAAGAATTCAATTATTAGCCATTGTGAAATGAAAATGGTCATCTATAGGGGGCCTGGCTTGGCTGTTTTTAGCAGAAACTATATCTCCTTTTATTTTCCATTTATTACAGGTATAAGAGAATTTGAGGGTTAAAGTCTCATAAGGCCATATGGGTTGAAGGAGATAAAATACCGGAACTTCACTTGAATCCATGTTAGCAAATAATTTGATAAACTCACCTTTCTGAATGAGTGTATATTTGAAACAATTCTTCATCCGATGATCTTGTTCCCCTAACAACATTGATAGCACCAGTTGCCATGATTCCTGTATGTCATTTATTTGTGTGAAATACTGAAATCGTCAATGTAGAGGAAGCCTCTAGATAACAGCCATAGAACAATAAACAGAGAATTATGCATATAAATTCACAAAACATGTATATCTAGCATTGCACTGTATGGCTTTAGAACACATCACTATCTATTACTGAGAAATCAAGGCCAAGCTGATACTTGTTGTCTAGTATCTGTAACAACCAAATGTTGTTGCTAACATTCCAGTGCTCCAGCAGCAAATATCAGAAAGGATAAGGAACCACAGAATTATCACCAGGAAAGTAACAAGAAAGGGGAATGTCAACATTGGGAATCACAATGCATGGTGTCATCACAAAACAGAGGAATAAGTTACCTTGATCTGCAACTAGCCAGCGACATGAGTTATCAGCAAAAAGTGCTAGCTTTTCATCTGGAGCAACGCCAATGGCCCTTAGACCTTGAGAAAAATCCAATATTTCTTGCTCAAGCTGATAAGAACATAAATCAGCAATTAGGTACTGCAGATTTGTGGACATTAAAGCTCTGAAATAAATGCAATTGTGTATTCTAAATGTGGTAGGGAAGATGAATATGTTTAATTGATGAGAACTTATGACTTAAATAGAGCAGTATTATTCATCTAAAGACTCAAATAGAGCAGTATCCTTTATTGTTGCCATTTGTGTGCATTAACATGAAATCATGTAGATAGCCTCGCTTGCTCTAAGTATTCATGATGGCTTTCAAGCTCATGCTCCTTTCCTTTTAAGGTGATTATTCAGTATGGTAGAAAAATAACATTTATGCATGGCCATTGAAGTCAAAGATGCACCTGTGTATACGTCCATTCCGTCGGCGGTTCATGGTAAGGATCTATCACAGCTACGAGGTCAGCGTATTTTTCTGCTGCTGTCCTCCAAATATCTGGAACCGCCTTCCATTCATGCACTGTCGAATCACTTCCACCAGGCAACAGAACACTCTCCAGTAGAGGTGAGCACTTTCTACGTACTTGATGTTCTAGCTGTAAAGTGGATTAGTGCAAGTTTGAGACCGAACAGCTTAGATTTTTAGCGAGAATAAGTGATAACTCAATACGCCAATGCAGTAACTCATATAATAAACTATTCATCCTTCACAGAACTACTATTTGCAGCACAATACTTCAAAGAATGCTACAGTATCACAATTTGACGCACCTGCCTACAATTTTACAATTCCCTGGACAATGGTGGGAAACAAATCCACAATGGCATGCCTGTGACGAAATCAAGTCCCCCACGTGGCTAAAAAGGCATATACACATCAAAGGGGGTCGAAATAATACTCCGACGACGGTAAAAAGGAATCTAGATATCAAAGGGATAAGCCACGAACAGGGTGATAGGAACAGCTAGCTGTACCACTACCACCTCACCGTTCCCCTTAATTGACACGGGCGGAACTGCTTAGCTCGATCACACATCACAGTCCATTAGCCAATTTGGATAATGACCTCAACACTTGATGTACGGAAAGCGAGAACCGATTAATGGTGGGGCCGAAATTTGGCGGCTCATCCAGAAGCAAAGCGGCGGCTGCTTTGCCGGAGGCAGAAAAGGGTATCTGTGCACTGCCAGGCCAGGCAGAGATCACCGGGAAGACTGAACCTCGGGCGCACACACCGTTATGATAGCATAAATTCCACGGTTCACCGGAATCCGTCATATCACTAATTAGTCGGAGAAAAACCTGGCGAAATGGAGGAACAAGCACGCGCGTTCCGGCTGGCCACACCCGTGGACGAGGGATCACAAAAAAATCACCGGGAAACAAACGAGCTGGAGGACTAACCGCGGAGTCGGCGGACGGGGGCGGCGGTGGAGATGCGGCGGCGGAACACCGGGGCGGCGGCGTGGCGGGGCGGAGGGCCGGGGCGCGGGCGCGGGGGAGCAGCGCGACCGGGCGCCGAGGGAGCAGGCGGCCGCGGCGGGCGAGGAGCGGAGGAATCGACGAGCGGCGCGGGGCGCAGAGCCCGGCCATCTGACCGGACGAGGCGGAGGCGGCGAGCATCGTGCCGGTGCCGGCGATCTAGAGGCTCCGGCCGGCCCGCCCGACGAGCGCTCTACTCCAGAGAGCAGGCGGAGTCTGTCTGGAGTCGCCGGGCCCGGCCGGAGTGACGTGCGCGGCGTGGCGTACTGGCGTGACGCACGGCGAGCGCTGCCAGCGGGAGCGGGGGGGGCATCGGCTCATCTTAGCCTGTTCGTTTGGTTGGCTTATCGTAAACGATCGGCCGAAATTCTTCGCGAACCAGCGACGAAACAAAGGCCTCGCTCGCGCTCGAGTATATAGGGACTCGGCCTCGTGGGCTTCGTCGGAACGTGGTGGAGCCGTGGAGGCATCGAGGAGTTGCGGCTGCGTCATCTTCTGCGCCGCGTGCTTCTTTTCTGACCACCCGTGTGCGCGGATGCCATTGCTGGGACTGGGATCCCCAACAAGGCAACAAGGACGGAGGATTCAGGGATCCTAGCAGAGCGACCTCTCGTCTCAGAAACAACCAGCAAGAAAGAGGTGGTGGCGTTTTGGCTCGTCATTTCTAGTGTCAAAATCTTAGTAGCATTGCATCGTCATCATCACTATCAATAACATCAATCAACTTTGAATGGCTGTACCATGTAAACATTGTTGTACTGTCTTGATTTTCCTTGAGACAGGATAAGGTGGTTGAAAATTAAAATATTGAAAAAAAAAATCCCTGGTAATCTTGGCCCACCTCCCTTATCCGCTCGGGTGTGCGGCGTGCACGGCAGGGCCCAACCAAGTCAGCACTCCCGAACCAACCGCATGACAGTTTGGTTGCCATTTCTTGGTGCTAGTCGATATCGTCTGGAGAGACGGTGTGTAAGTGTGTTTGTTCGAGAAATCATTATCATTGGAGTGATGCATCCTGAATCTATTTCTTAAATTTTGGGGAATAATCTAATTTCTCATACTAGTACTCCCTCTGTCCCTAAATAAATAGATTACTGGAGCTGTCTTAAGTCAAACTTTTTAAACTTTGACTCAATTTATAGAAAAAAAACGTTAAAATTTATGATATCAGACTAGTATCATTAGATGAATATATTTTCATAATATATTTTTATAATATACTCATTTTATATCATAAATGTCGTTACTTTTTTCGAGTATTAATTATTAGCCTGTGACAAATGATGTGGTCGTGGATCAACTCATTCTATTTCACACATAGAGTTGTCTTGAAACAGAGCTAGAGGATGCATGTGAGAAACCAACCACATAACAACTAACTTGAGAATTAGAGGTGTCACTTGTCAGGTAAATAATCGTAGCGAGGGATAGGTAAGAAGACGAGAAGCAGCAGCAGCAAGCTAAATCACGCAGACGTAGCCGATATGATCGAGACAGTTATGAGTGTAGGTAGGTCCAGACCCTTGCAGCGCGCCATATATCCATCGAGCTTCTTTGCCGTCTGGTGTGGGTGTGAGGTGGTTGCTCCAATCAAATTTTCTAGACTCCTAATTTATTGACCAACAATTTTTTTTCTTTGAATTAGATCCTACAAAATAAATACATATTCCTAGTATAAGAGATGTAAACTTTGCGCTCTTGTCTCGACTTAGGTGACTAAAGTTAAACCTACCCATTGTCGAGATTCGACAGTACTTGTGGTGCTTTCGATTTGTCCTCCACGACTTGGACTTGCAACCAAGCAAATCCAAACCTAATTACTGGTTAACATATCCATTTTCACTGGCAAACTAGTACTGATTAAATTAAAATAGAGGTGCAAAGAGCACATACAAACGCGTTTGACTGACCACACACGATCAGAGTAACAACATGAAACGAGATGCAAAAGTGACCACACACGACACGGTCCAGTGCAGGTATATATACACAAAGCCGGACACTAGCACAATTATTACTATGCTAATTGTCCAAGATCCATTGCCCGATGGTCAATTCACCACATCAAGCGCCACTCTGGGCTATAGTGTTCAACATCACTGCAGCTTCATCAGTCTCGTCGAAGGATTGATCCAAGCCATCCATGTACATCTTAGCCTGGAGAAAAGGCTGTTATCAGCAAACAACCTCAAGGAAACAAATGTTCTTTATGGATTAGTGTTCTTTTAGGAAATCAAATAGGCTTCTAGCTAGACGTACCGCCTCACAAAGTTGATCATACTTCCCATAGATTTCCTCTATTTTCTTCCTTCCAGCGTCAGCAACAGAATCGGCTTGAGAGCATAATTCAGAACCCTGATTGGCAGACAGTATGTCGGCAAATGTGAAAGAGGTGCGCACAATAAAGAAAAAAAGATGACAACAGCCTACCAGGCTTTAGAAATGAAGTACCGGATGCATAGCCTATGTTTTTCCTTCTAGATTTATAGAGCCACAGCTACTAATCAGGCTCGAAGGTATCGATCAAATTCAAAGGTAACATGCAAAGCAATAGACAGGATGTGGCAACTCATGCAGTGCAATTTCGAAAGGATTCTTTTCAACAGCAGAACATCCAGGATAACAAGTTAACAACATCACCTTGTCAATCTTTTCCTTTATTTTTCTTTGTTTCTCCTCAAGGCACTTATGCTCCGATTCAACTTCAGATTTCAATGCAGTCATCTTCCGATTGTTCTCTCCAACTCTTTGGTCCCTTTCTTTCTCCTTTGCTTTCAGTTTGGCCTCGTTCTCGAGTACTAATTGCAAGATGTTCATGCACAGTAATGTGATGATAACATTTGAACTAAGAACTGACTTGATAATACTTGAGCAATGCTAAAAATATACTAACCTTTCATTTCCCATTCAGCAGCTTTATTGCGAAGTGCCTTTATCTCCAAATTTTGATCACTGATCTTCTCTTTGTGTGCTTTAACATCCTTCTCAGAAGCTTTAGCAGCAGCACTCTAGCATGAATAATATATTTGTACAGTCATTGTCATACCAATTTGACTCAAGGGTGCAATCAGCCAAAGGAAAAAAAATCTTGCATGAAGGAAAGCTTGACGCTATTCATACTTTTTCAAGTACAGCAGAAATTTTAGAGAGATGCTTCGCTAGTTTCTCCGAAACCTGCAAAATAAAGATGCCTATCATGCAACTACATAAATGGAGTATACAGGAATAAGAAAGGTCAAGCCTCACAAGAAACAACAATAAATGTCAAATGGTTCTTGTGATTTGACAATTTGAGCAATTACCCCATCAGCTGTAGTAAGAAAAGAATGATCCGAGGCTGGGGGGAGAACTAAATGGGAAACTCAAGATTACCAGAAAGAAAACACTGTTCGTTAGCACATGATCTGTATTGTTTACAACAAATTTATAGCAACAAGTGTGAAATTGTTGCGCCAATCAGCATCAGGAAGAGCGCATCATAAAGAGTACCTTAGTATACATCTCAAGAGTATCGGTTTTCTCTTGGACTTTCTGCATTGCCATCTTCTCTAAGTTCTTTAACTCATCACGGACTACTTTCTTCTCCTCAAGGTTCCTCTTTGATATAGAAAATAAAATCCATAGTTATTATGGAAGCTAGCACAAGATGATGATTATCTAATTGAAGCTCATAATTCTGATCGAAGCAATTTGACAATGTAAGCACATAAAAAATATACTCATAGCACATAAAGAAGCAAGCACTAATGATTCTGGGGAAAATGAACACTTTTTTAAAAAGAACGCAATCTTAGATAGAGCACCCAGTGACAATTGCAATGATATGTTGAGTGAATAATTCATTCATAGTTATGCTGAACTGTGAAGAGATAAAGTCATTCCGACAGTTGAAAGGATGACAGCATACTTGCTACTCCTAGTTGCATTGAGTAAGACAGTTAGGAAAACTATGGCTTGCTGTTCTACCATGGAAAGTAATTCTAGAACCTACAGAGTTGCTTGTGTGAATGGCTTTCAGTTTTTGTAGCTTAGGCATTCCAACACATTCAATTCCTGATGAACTTTATGCCTGTAGCAGTTTAAAACAAACAACATACAGCCTACCTGGAGCTTTTCAGGGGAATGAACAATTTTGGCTGATAGCTTTTCCTTTTCTTGCATAGCTTTCACCAACGCAAAATCAGCCTGGTTGATCTGCCAGGAAAAAAAATACAAGCAGCGAATGTAATATTATGAAGTATTTCTTTGAATGGAGTACAAAAACAAAATCCAGTTTAACTTAACAAGAGCAGTTCTGCTGGTCAATGTCCATAAATACAAAGCAAAGCCCAAGCTAATAAATACCAGTTATTAGTTAGGAAGAAAAAAAATGTCAGCATTCAGTGGCTGATTAAATAACTAAATGTCTTCCAATTATGCTAAAAGATCGCTTTCTTAAACATGTAAGCATACTTCCAGTGCTTTAAGACTGATTTGGCCTGGAGCACCTATAACATACAGAAGGTGGCAGTCTATGGAGCTTTGGCTCCTCGGAGTAAAAAAGCCAGAGTAAGAGGGGTGTCTCATGTCTGGCCTAACAACTCCAGCTTCTCCACTTTAAGTCTAATGAGATTTTCAACGTATGTATAACCAAAACCAGTGGCAAGTTACATGATCTGTTGACGTGAATCAGGTGAAATATTTCCAACTGACTGAACCAATGAACCTACCAAAAGGCAGCTCACTATCACCTATGGCTTCATCCAGACTCCATGTAATCCAAAACTACCTGTGCTAGCTTCAACCAAGAAGCCTGGAACTGAATATACGCCAAACAAAACCTACTGACTTCAACACAATTTGTTATCTTGTTGGCATTGAACAGAATGCTTAAGCATATGACTTTTCAACTAATTTCAATGTTAGCTCGTACTACTTCCAAAATCCAATAGTGTCCATGCTGTAGTCACATTCTCAAATATAACATGCATGATACATGCATCGGAAACTTGCTCTTTTCATATGCTGGTAGCATAACATGGTGGACACTTGAGCAACAACCAGATTATACATACCTCTTAGTTTTCATGGACAACAATTTATTCATTTATTGACAGAAGGTATCAGCAATACACCAAATAAGAAAGCTACTCGGCATTGTAGCTTAAGGCAGCAAGGTTGTAGTGCCAAGATTGACAGCAGCCAAAATATGCAGGAGGTTCAAAGTTGACATATGTAAACACAAGTCCACATTGTAAACCTCTGTTTTTCATCGATCACGCAGAACGTAAGAATAAAGACATACCAAGGAAAAACCCAAGCACCATTCTAATCAAAAGGAAGGAAAAATGCAACGCAAGACAGGAATCAGCACCTTCCTTAGTGTCTCCTCTTTCTTTTCGTCCAAGGCTTTTGATGCAACGCGCAGCGACAGCTGCTCTCTGTTGTAATCATGAAGCCTCTGCTTGAGGGCATTGACCTCCTTTTCGAGCTGCTGGACCATGGGTGCCTCCATCTGCTCCTTAAGCAGATGGTCCTCTTTCGCCTTCGTAAGCTGTATAAGGTGGAAAATGGAAGGGAAAAATGTTAGGATCGATGATGTGTACCTCTGTGTAACCCGTAGATCCGGTGTGAGCCTTCTCACCCTTTGCGAGGATTCACCGTTCTGTCCATGACGCCGCAGCAGCTTGGACGCCGGTGTAGGGGCAGCTCCGGGTCGGTGGCGAGACGGCGAGGTAGCGATGCCGTGGAGATCCAGAGGGGACGGTGGTGACCCTGCAGTGAGTCGACGGCGGTGGTGGGGGGCTCATCCCGTCGCTGGCAGCAGCATCTCTTTAGGATCGGATTAGGGTTTCTCTGTAGGTGAGTATGGCGGCTCCGTTCAACCTCGTTCCTTGAGCCCAGTCCCCACTCCTCTATTTATGTGCTGTGTGACAGGGGCCCACCAACCAGTTAAGGTTGGGCTCCCCCGATCAGAGAGTAGAGGCAAGGGCCCAATAGGCCGTTGGGCCTATTGGTGGAGATCAACTAACATTCTCCCCCTTGATCTCATTCCATCTTTCACTTTCATATCATTTACTTTTGTTCATTCCATTATAGATTAGCTCATAGAGCATGTCTCATCGTCACGGTCCATTGCCGATAGACTTAACAGCTACAACTCACTACTCTGTTCTGAAATAGATACTTATCTTTGGGCCTTCTTTTGTCCAGGAATATTTTAGGCTTTGCCTTAAACCCAAGCTAGCTACATGTTCTCTGAACACCATGTCCTCTGAACATGTTGGGTGGTAAGCCTTTTGTAAGCGGATCCGCGAGCATCATTTCTGTTCTTATATGCTCAAGACTTATGACTTGATCCCGGACTTTATCTTTCACAATATAATACTCTATATCAATGTGTTTGGCAGCATCACTTGACTTATGTTGTGAGCATCCTTTACTGCCAGATTATAATCGCATTATAACTTTAGTGGTCTATAGATGTCGTCAACCACCTTCAAACCGGGTATGAACTTCATTAGTTAGTTCACCTGCCCGTTGCCTCATAACACGCTACGAACTGTCATACATTGTGGACGATGTAGTGACAGTTTGCTTTGAGCTTTTCTATGAAATAGCTCCCCTTTGCGAGATGATAGAAAATCCACGTCTGGATATGCATTCACTCTCACATAATCAGAATCTGAATATCCCACCATGTGGAGTGAATCAGATCTTCTATATGTCATCATGAGGCCTTTTGTTCTTTGCAAATAATGCAAGACTTTCTTTACTAATTTCAGTGTTCTATTCCAGAATTGCTCTGGAATCTGCCAAGTAAAACCCGGTAATAAATGCCAAGTCAGGGTGTGTACATAGTTGAGCATGTTGCAAGCTTCCGACAGCTGAAGCATATGGAACCACTTTCACTTTATCAATTGAGCTCATATTGGTTCCTGGGGCATTGAAAATCCCCATATCTGTCGCCCTTGACTATAGGAGCAGGTGAGGGACTACATTTGTGTATACTGAATTTCTTTAAGATCTTTTTCATGTATGCCTTTTGCAACGGTCATTATACCCTTTTCTTCTATCTCGGTGAATCTCGATCCCTAGAACGAACGAGGCTTCCTCAAGATCTTTCATATTAAGTTTTGAGAACAAAACTTCTTTGTCTCCTATAGTAGACTGACATCACTACTAGCAAGTAAGATATCATTTACATACAGGATAAGGAAGGTAAACTTCCCAATCTTAAACTTTGCATAGACACAATTGTCCTCTATATTCTCTTTAAAACCCAAAATTCTTTATTGACCGATCAAACTTCAAGTACCACTGTCTTGAAGCTTGCTTTAATCTATAAATGGATTTCTTTAGGCGGTATCCCATTCATTCTTTTCTTTCCATGACAAAACCTTTCGGTTGTGCCATGTAAACATTTTCCTCCAAGTCTCTGTTGAGAAATGCCGTCTTTACATCCATATGATGTAATTCTTAATCGTAATGTGCCACTAATGCCATTATGATTCTGAAGGAAACTTTACATGAGACTGGAGAAAATGTCTCATTGTAATCAATCCCTTCTCTTTGCATAAAGCCTTTTGCCACAAGTCACACTTTATATGTCTCTATATTTCCTTGAGAGTCATGTTTAGTCTTGTAGACCCATTTACAGCCTACTGTTTTGGCTTCTTTAGGAATTATTTCCAAGTCCCAAACTATATTGGCATTCATGATTTCATTTCATCTTCCATGGCCTCAAGCCACTTTGATGACTGATCACTACTCATGGCTTCTTCAAACGAGACGGGATCATCCTCCATTTGAAATTCTTTAGTGTTGTACACTTTATAATCAGCAGGAATAGCTGATTTTCTAACTCTTTGAGACCTTTTAGGGGCCTCCACATTTGGCACATCTTCTGTTTGAGGCTGTTGTTGCTCCCCCTCATGTGTGGCAATAGGTTCTATAGGATCTGAAGAACAGGTTCCTCATCGTTATTCATTGTTGCCACAGGTGGGATAACAACAGGTGCTGGCACCACAGTATTTAGTACTGTCGGTGCAGCAACAACAGGTAGTGAGAAAAATGGCCCATGAATCATTAGAGTGGGCGCAAACACCCGCTTCACTTCAAGGTCAATTTCTCGAGCTACCATGCTCCCCCTCATCAATTCATTCTCTAGGAAGACAACGTGTCTCGTTTCTACAAACTTTGTATGTCTTTCTGCACAGTAGAAAACGAAAGCCTTTTGACTTTTCTGGGTAGCCAAACAAATGGCAACTTACTGTTTTGGAATATAACTTTCCAATGTTTGGGTTAAACACTTTAGCCTCAGCAGGGCTCCCCCACATTCACGAAAGTGGATTAGCGAGGGTACTCTTTCTGTCCACAACTCATACGGTGTTTTGGACACCGACTTTCTTGATACTCTATTGAGAATATGAATGGCGGTTTTAACACCTCCATTCACAGGCTCAACTGTAGGGTGGAGTGTCTTATCATACTGCCCACCATATCTATCAGGGTACGATTGATTCTTTTAGCTACTTTATTCTGCTGAGGTTCGCCCGGTGTGGAATACTGGGCTACTATGCCATTCTTTTAGGGTATGCCGACCGTAGTACTCCCCCACGGTCAGACCTGACTATCTTAATCTTTAATATCTTAAATTTATCTAATACATCTTTTCTTTCTTTGATTGGATAAATATAGTCATAATGGGAGTAATCATCTGTGAATGGATCATAACCATCCACACTCTTTACAGGAAAGCTGACCACAGATGTCAGTGTGAATAATCTGTAAAATTCATGTGCTTCGTTTGTCATCTTTCTTTACATACTTTTCTTTTATGCATTCTCTGCATTGTTCTTAATCCGAGAGCTCTAATGGAGGAAGAATATCATTCTTAACTAGTCTTTTTATTCTCCCCCTCGAAATATGGCTTGAACGATAATGCCATAATTTCGACGACGCATTGTGAGCTCTCTTATGCCACCATTATCAGAGTGACTATCTGTCACCAGCTGCTTTATGGGCTGGATAGCACATGTCTTTGAAGAGTCAGTGAACTGACTCCTTATTCTATCGAGGTACTCGGTGACCGTGTCACACTATGGGATTGAGCCCACAATTGTAGGTTCAATCATTTTCTTTATCTAGCCAAACTTTTTCGTGTTGGTAGTGATTCATTTCCTATGCCCAAGGAGTCATAGGATATCTTTTGGGATTTAAAATCCCTTTCTTTAGTTGCTCAAGTGGCATCATTCTCTTTTGTCTCCCTCACCGGTGCCACAAACTCAGTGGAACACGGTGAGGTGACTACCTAGTCCACCTTAGACAATATGAAAACCAGATCAAAACTTTTCTTAACACAAAAATAACACCATTTGCATGCCTTGATTCCAACGTTGGTCAAAAACAAAACATATAATTATTCTTATACAGTAATTCTACATCACCGTTGGGCAGAAATAGAATTAATGCATAAATCTTTAACTTTCACAACTGTTCTTACACACTAATTCTACATCACCGTTGGGCAGAAGTAGAATTAATGCATAAATCATTAAAATTAACATCTGTTCTTATACACTAATTCTACATCACCGTTGGACAGAAGTAGAAATAATGCATAAATCATTAACATTATCAACTTTTCTTATACACTAATTCTACATCACCGTTGGACAGAAGTAGAATCAATGCATAAATCATTAAAATTACGATATTGTTATTAACAACGTTGGTCAGAAAATAACAACATCATAATCATATCAAAACTCTTTTTCTCCAATTAAATACCACATTGGTACAAATTAACCGGAGAATAAACAATTTCTCTAGTTGTAGAAAAACTTCTCCTTTTCTTGAATTTTACCCACAAGGAAAATTGTATTTTCTATTTCCTTTAATCCATTAATCAATTTCCAGAAAATAAAACATTTACTGGAAAAACTTTGAGAATATACTTTTTCTTTAGCAGCGGAAAAACTCTTACTCAATTTCTTTAATTTTACCCACAGGGAAAAATTACCTTTTCTATATTATTTAAGCCATTAATCAATTTCCAAGGAATAAAAACTTTACTGGAAAATAAAAAACGAAAAATGGCTCAAATGATCAGTGTTCTTTCAGCCCGGCCAGCAAAACAGTCCGACCCAGCTACTCTTTTCGCTATTGCAGACCACCAGTGTAACTTTGGGCTGGGCTGGCAAAAAAGCGCAGCCGCATGGCTTCTTCCTTGCTTTGGCGAGAAGCAGCCCGATCAACCGGTGCCATTGATTCCAATCGGACGGCCGAGCGGGCGTTTCGGCCGGTCAAAAACCCAGCGCCGCTCGGCCCCCCGCAACCCTAGCGCCATTCGCCCCCTGCCCTTCTCTCTCTTCTTCGCCGCTCTCTCCTCTCTCTACCTCGCTCTCTCTTCTCAGACAGCACCGAGGCGAGTGTAACCGAGAGCGAGCTAAGGCGGTGGAGCAGCGAGCACGGCGCCGTCGCCGGCCCCCTCGCAGGCGTGCGCGTTCCCCTTGGGTGAGCACGCCGCCGTCGAGCGGCCTGGCCGCGGCGTCCCCTTGGCCGAGCTCGGCGAAAACCTTCCCGGCTCAATCTTCTTCTCCCTCGCCGGCGAAACAGTTCACCCAGTGCACGGCGAGATCTCTTTCCCTTTCTTCTTCCCCTTTCGGATTTGAGTTATTTTTCTCTGTTTTCTTTTCGCTTGTTCATCCGAAAAGAGGATCTAGGGTTAGGGTTCGGTTGAACCTGATTCGAGTTTTCTTTTTGTTTCTTTCCTTTTCTTATTTGTGCGAATCCCCTTTTCCCTTCCTCGTTGCGAGTTAGGGTTAGGGGTTCCGATTGAACCGATTCGGTTTTGATTCAAGATCTTGAGAGATAGGCCCCTTCCCACGGTCATTTCTTGGGTTAGGGTTCGGCTCGAAGTCGAGAAACCCTCTCGTTCTCTCGATCCAAATGGATCTTGTTTTCTTTTCTTTGTTGACCGATTGGGGTTAGGGGTTTGTGTCGACCTGTTCTTTTCTCTTCTTTTGAATTTCCTTTCTTTTCTTTTATTTCTTTTCTCTTTTGGATTTAGGGTTCGGCTCTGTTCGTCTTAAGGCCGAAACCTTTCTTTTCCCCTTTTCTTTAACCCAATTAGGGTTAGGGTTAGGGAGTGTTCTGTTCTTGCCGTGTCAGTGCGGCACTTTTCCCGCGCGATGGTGGTGGTGACTGGGGTTCCAGTGACCCCTGCCACCCCCGGTCCCTTTTCCTTTCTTCTTTTACCCGGTTAGGGTTAGGATTACACAGAGGCAACTGGCTCTGGTACCATTGTTAGGATCGATGATGTGTACCTCTGTGTAACCCGTAGATCCGGTGTGAGCCTTCTCACCCTTTGCGAGGATTCACCGCTCTGTCCATGACGCCGCAGCAGCTTGGACGTCGGTGTAGGGGTAGCTTCGGGTCGGTGGCGAGACGGCGAGGTAGCGATGCCGTGGAGATCCAGAGGGGACGGTGGTGACCCTACAGTGAGTCGACGGCGATGGTGGGGGCTCATCCCGTCGCTGGCAGCAGCATCTCTTTAGGATCGGATTAGGGTTTCTCTGTAGGTGGGTGTGGCGGCTCCGTTCAACCTCGTTCCTTGAGCCCAGTCCCCACTCCTCTATTTATGTGCTGTGCGACAGGGGCCCACCAACCAGTTAGGGTTGGGCTCCCCCGATCAGGGAGCAGAGGCAAGGGCCGTGGTGGAGATCAACTAACAAAAAAATGCAGAAAAGAAAACACACACAGGGAGAGAAAATCTAAGTATTTCCCTAGACAGAAGGCAGAAAAATGTAAAGGAGTACGGGAACGAGACCTCGGCAATGTTAGCCCTGAGCTCCGTGTGCCGTTCATCAGGCGCGCCGTACTCTTGGACGATAAAATTTGGAGCAAGGTGAGCTTCTCTCCTGCTGAAGAGGAGATAGTTGATGAGGGGCCACGAGGATGTCGACGACACGGGGGCCATCGGCGCGGAGGAGGTCGCGGAGATTGAGGTCCGGGCTGGATGGACTGGAGGAAGGCGTTGGCCCTCTTGTAGATCCTTAAATACCGTAGGGCACGCATGTGGTGCTCCGGGTTGTCGAGCACCTGCTGGCTGGGCATGTAGGCCGCTCGTCGGGCTCGTCATTTGCGCAACAAGCAAAATGCCCCCCAAAACCAAAGCAAGCAAACGCAGAGATGAGGCCGGATCCAGGTGAGACGGGACAGCTCGGGCGGGGGGGAGCGGTGGGCGTGCTCGGCACGCGTTAGCGAGAAAGAGGAGAAGACCTTGGCGACGGCCGGGGTGAGGGTAGACGACGCGTCCTCGGCCGAGAGGTTGAAATTTGGGCGCGATGTCAGTGGCTGTCTTGTGCAGCAAAGCCACGATCTCCTCCGGCTTAAACAGCGGGAAGGAGTAGGAGCTCGCCATCCCCTCCGCTGCGGGCACCACCAGCGAATCGAATCAAAACCGGATGGGTGGGGTGGGTGGGATGCGATGGCAGCGGGTTTTCCCCCTTTCCACTCCGGCAGGCGGCGGCGTTGGGGTTTTCGTCTTCCCGCCCATCCTGCGCTGGAGAAATTGAATTCGTGAGGAGTGGAGCCTTCTGGTCAAAAAGGGTGCAACTACTCCCTCATCCGTCCTTAAATAACTTTACGTAATGTAAATTTCACTATATTTATAAAAAATATGTACAATAGTTATATCTCTAAATAAATTTATTATGAAAATAAATTCAACGATCTATTTATTGATATTAATTTTGAATCATTAGCCAAAGTTGTTTCTCTCGAAGAAAAACATCGGTTATGATCAAAAGGTTGTAGCTCTATTTTTTTATGAATTATAAAATAAATAAATTATTATTAAAATATCTTCAACAATAAAATAAGTTATTATAAAATATATACTATTAAAATATAAAGTTTGAATAATACGAAGATATCTAAAAGCCAAAAAGTGTCACTTTGAAACGGAGAAAGTATTCATCGCTGGCCTACCTTTTAAAAAGGCATTCCTCTTGCTCACATGTCTAGCCAGAGAGAGGATGATGATGTGACAGGATAAAAACATGTGTAACCTTTGTAGCACATGCCAATATGCCATGCATGTCAAGCCATGTATCGACTTGAAGCCAGTCAAGCCATCACTGAACCACAGTATTCAAGATCACAAAGTTGTGAAAATAATAGTGATTTGAAGTTCCATGTATGCTTTTATTATTCAACCGCGTGATATTCAAGTTTAGATTGGCTGAATTTGGCTAAAAAATAAGTCAAAATACTGTTCCGGCTGAATTGTTGTGAGAGAAAAACATCGTTCCGGCTGAAAAAAGAAGCCGAACAAGCCGGATTTTAAGACAAGCGAACGGGGCCTTAGGCCACAAATCCGATTTGTAACATCTAAAGATATTCAAATCCATATTAGTGTTCATTTTAGAATATGGACATAAAACGTGGAAAGTATGTTATCATATTCGGTGGTCGGCTACTACTCCCTCTGTCCTTTGGATTTGTCGCTATGTTCGTCAGTCAGAGGTGATTGTGTAATCTGAGAAGAAGGATCTGATTTTCGTCGAAGAAGTTCAAGTCTACCGTTGATTAGTTTGATCTTAGGGTTCACGATGTTTGAGTTCTCAGTCTCCTGTTTCTGGATCTATTGGGCATACGTCGTGTTTTGGATAATCATTTTTCTTATTGTTTCTCCATTGTCCTCATCTATCTCGACTTCCGGATTAAGCCTTGGTTGTACTAGGTTGTTCTTAACCGTGTATCTCTAAATCCATGTGTGGTTTAGTGTTCGACGTCGTGTAATCTTCCGTGTAATTTCAGATCTGCGAAGTGTAATCGTATTTTTTTCTTTCTGATTCTTGTTTTGAATCTCGGGACGAGATTCTTTTAAAGGAGGAAGATTGCAACACCCCTGGTGTTACGAGCTTGCTTAGCACCGAGATTTAGGTCCGAGAAGGATTATCCTAACAAGTTTCTGGATTTTAAAAATTTATAACGCACGTGAGGCGAAAAACAATTTCTAGGAACAAAGATCAAATATAACTTGTATTTAGTACTTAAATAAAAATTTAAGTATAAGTTTAGTAGATAGAAATGCAATTTTAACTTTTGAAAAATAGATGTTGTTAACTAGTGTTTTGGGAGCTCAAAAATTAAATTTAACGTTAAGATAAGCTCTTTTCGATAAGTCGGCAAACACTTGGACTATTGTGTAAAAAACCATTTTTGGCGAATTATATTGAGTAAAATGGTTAAATTGAGCTTAAATATTTTGCTCCTATGGGTTAGTATAAGGTATGGACTATCGCATGAAATACTTGTTGGTTGCAGTTAATCAGGTTTGGCCCTTTTAAAAATTGTAACAAAAGTGTTAATGATTGTTAGTTTTAATTGAATCCTTAACTTTTCTAAGTATGGAAAAGTAGCAAGACAATGCTATTTTGACATTTAATTTCTAACAAAAATGCTTAAACACTAGCTGCATGTTTTAGTACTGTTGATTGCATCAAAACGAGTGCTTGAGCATGGCTTAGGTCGAAGTTGTGTTAGATGTCACGTTGCTCTAGTAAAAATTGTCCAAACTTCGTTGGAACACGTTGTTCACTATGTTGTTGGTGCCCTATTCGTGAACCGGCCCTCCAGCGACGAACCCAAGTTGCCATCCTTTTATCTCCCTCTCTGGTTGCTCTCGGGTCATGGCGATTGCTCCGCTAACTAGCTGGTAGTGTTGACTTTATGTTAGTAGGATTGGTTGAACTTCGGTTGAGATGATCGGCATCCTTTGCTTCGCTTTAAAATTCGTGCACGTCATATGCTTGGCTTGGGCGCACGGTCACCTCACGCGGCCGTTTGGCGTTCCGCGGCTGGCCAGGTTCCGCGCGCCGCGGTGCCGACCCCGGTCGGCCGGTCTGGCCGTGGGTTGGTCGGGGCTGGCCAAGCGGGTCGCTGTCGTCCCCCTGCAGCTGCTGGCCATCGCACTACTGCCCCACCTCGCTGTTGCGCGCATCGCTACGCCATGCCGGAGGGTTGCCACTGCGCTACGCTAGTGCAGCCATCGCAGCGCTCCCCTGCTTCAACCGTTAGTAGAGCGTACACCACGGTGAGCCACTAATGCTTATCCGCCACTTCTACTCTACCGAGCGTACGTAGGTGAAAGGTCCTAATGGCTAGAGGGAGGTGAATAGCCTAATAAAAATTTATACAACAACACATAGCAAACCGATTAGACAATTATGAGGCGAAGCAAGAGTTGCGCTAGCCTATTAAAAATGCAAGCCACCTACCACAATTCTAGTTTATATAGTATGTATCCACACAATAGCTATGTCACTATACTAAATTAGTGTGCTCTCAAATACTAACTAAAGAGCCACACTAACCAAACTAACAAGCTCTTACAACTAGCTATACTAAAGAGCTTGACAACTAGTTTGCGGTAATGTAAAGAGATTGATCAAGAAAGTTATACCGCCGTGTAGATAAAGGAACCAATCAATCACAAGAGTGAATAACAATGAAGACCAATCATCTCAGAATCAAAGGATGAACACAATGATTTTTTACCGAGGTTCACTTGCTTATCGGCAAGCTAGTCCTCGTTGTGGCGATTCACTCACTTGGAGGTTCACGCGCTAATTGGCATCACACGTTGAACCCTCAATAGGGTGCCACACAACCAACACAAGATGAGGATCACACAAGCCACGAGCAATCCACTAGAGTACCTTTTGGCGCTCCACTGGGGAAAGGTCAAAAACCCCTCACAATCACCACGATCAGAGCCGGAGACAATCACCACCCTCCGCTCGACGATCCTCGCTGCTCCTAGTCGTATAGGTGGCGGCAACCACCAAAAGTAACAAGCGAATCCCGCAGCGAAGCACGAACTCCGAGTGCCTCTAGATGCAAACACTCAAGCAATGCACTTGGAATCTCTTCCAATCTCACAAAGATAATAAATCAATGATGGAGATGAGTGGGAGGACTTTGGCTAAGCTCACAAGGTTGCTATGTCAATGCAAATGACAAAGAGAGTGAGCTTGAGCCGGCTATGGGGCTTAAATAAAAGCCCCCACGAAATAGTCATTGTACCCCTTCATTGGGTACAGCGTGGGGTGACCGGACGCACCGGTCATATTGATCGGACTCTGGACCCAGTGTCCAGTCGCCCGATGTCTGCCATGTGTCACACTGCGTTCAACAGGAGTTGTCTGATCTCAACGGTCATCTGTTGATCGGACACTCCGCTACAACTGACCGGACTCTGAGCCTCCAGCGTCTGGTCGTTTCCACTAAGGTTCCAGAAATGTATTTTGCCGACCAGACTCGTCCGGTCATGCTTGACCGGACCCTGCCAGCGTCCGATTAGACGCTGACTTCTGTCTGTGCTATCTGACAACACGACTGGACCCATCCTTCTAGCGTCCGGTCGCTGAGTGACCCAGCGTTCGGTCAGGAACCGACGCTGGAGTCTCCACTGCTACACATGACCAGACACGCTGGTCCCCCAGAGGCCAGCGTTCGGTCACTGTATAACCAGCGACACTTACTTCTTTTCACTTCTATCTTCTTCACCCTTCTCAAATATGCCAACCATCAAGTGTATCACCTTGTGCACATGTGTTGGCATATCTTCACAAATATTTTCAAGGTTGTTAGCTTTCCACTATATCCTAAATGCATATGCAATGAGTTAGAGCATCTAGTGGCACTTTGATAACCGCATTTCGATACGAGTTTCACCCCTCTTAATAGTATGGCTATCAAACCTAAATGTGATCATACTCTCTAAGTGTCTTGATCACCAAAACAAAATAGCTCCTACAAATTATACCTTTGCCTTGAGATTTTTATTTTTCTCTTTCTTCTTTTCAATTTCAAGCACTTGATCATCACCATGGCAATGCTATCTTCATGTCATGATCTTCATTTGCTCCACCACTTGGAATGTGCTACCTATCTCATGATCACTTGATAAACTAGGTTAGCACTTAGGGTTTCATTAATTCACCAAAACCAAACTAGAGCTTTCAGTAGGCTCGTCGGAACAGTCGCGCCGCCGCTGTGGATAGCCGCTCGTCGCTGCAGCCCACGACAGTGCGCCTCCGAGTCCCTAACCATCACCCACCCTTGCGTGTTTAGATATAGATGGTGGTCGGTCCCTTAATTTCGTCGTAGAGAGCCTAGTTTGCCCGGCGTAACCGCCTTGTGCGATCGGTCGCCGCGCCGACGCGCGCGGGGATAGCAGGGACCTCCCCATGGTAAAGGCGAAAACATCGAAGGGTTTGGTTGTAAAGTTACTAACGGTAGGAATAGTGCACATAGCAGTCATATTAATCTCTGAAAACTCAGGGGCCTTTCTGCAAAACGGCCAACACGCGCGAGCGTCCCTGGCCTTGGGCCGTACTGGGCCGCCGCGATGCGCTCGTAGCCGCGCCGCGCTGGGCTGTCGGGCCAGAAGGGTTGTTGCTAGCCATTTCCTTTTTCTAATGTATTTTCTAATTAAGTTTCTAAGGTAAACTTGTAATTTCAATATAAAATTGTGTAGTTAACCAAAAATTATGAAACTAATTTTGTTAGGTTCCTAAACTTATGATCTATCTGCTAGTATATTTTATTCACGTAATTTATAATATTTTTAGGAGTTATATGATTAATTTGATATGCTTAATATTGTTAAAATATAAACTTGTATGAATTTTTGTGATGAATTGGTATTAGTGTTGGCTCTGAAACTTTCACAGTAAATTCCTAGCATTATTAGGTATTCACTGTAATTTTTGTAGCTTCATAATAATTAGTTTGCTAAGGTAGCTAAATGAGCCCTAGTTTGAAAATATATATTTAATCCATAAAATGCTGAAACACCTTGAGAGTTTAGAACTAAAACACTTGTTGGGGAACAACGCCTTATTCAACAACATGGATACGTAGCCTAGCACGTTAGTTATTAGAGCTATCTCGTTAGCTTGCGAGGCGTAATCGTATTTCTAAGAGTTTCGGTTTCCGTTGATGATTTACGTCTCTGCGTTGCATCCACGTATATCATAATAGGAACAACGATGGATCGTGAAATGATCGGGGTAGCGGAAAAAAGGGTGCCTTGATGATCGTGTCACCAATGTTATGCTAATCCTTGGTTTTATCTCGCCCGGGACTTCCTAGACAAGTCCCGGTGCATAACCCCTATTATTTTGCACTTTATCTTATGCTTGTGCATTAAGTTTTAAGTAGTTGCCTTATCCTATGAGTCCTACTAGTATGTCAGGATCGTGTAGATTGCTATGCTATAGGATCCGGTAGAAGTCGAGTGATTACCTATCACTCGCGAGAGATAGGAGAGATATTATTGTTACTATATTACTATCACATGGAATATATATGGATGATAATTGGAGACCGAGTGGAATGGTACTTTGGATCTGGTCTTGGTTAGGCATTCGAGCGAGGCTTGGATTGCACTTCTTCCGCCTGTGTCGATTGAGGACCGTCCGTTGCTGTGGATGGTAGTTAGGTCACATACTTATTATTCTGAGCACATACTTGCTTATGGGAGCGGGAAGACTCGTTACACTCTTGTCGTAGGTTTCGGCTCTTTCTAGACCGACTGATTGGAGGCGAGGAAAGGTGGAGGTCTAAGCATCATACTGAGACCGGGTCTCAAGTGTGGGGGTTTGGAGTCCAAGTTTGGACGGGAACCTGTACCCCGTGACAGGAGTAGAATGGGTTGGTCTTATTTGTGCCTGAGGTGCAAACAGGGCGTGTGTTTCGGGGTACCCAGCTGGGATACATTGGTTCACGAATCGTTGTTTCTGTGAGACGGTACCGACTTGGCTATGGTCTAGCACCATAGTAAGAACTGTAATATAAAAGATGGTAAAATGGTTCTGATTGCTTACCACCTGCTTGAAAGTAGCATAGATGCTTACATAGAATAGTTAGTTAATGAACTAATGATGACTGCTAATAAAATTGAATATAAGGACGCATATTTAGTAATGCTTCCGCAGATGCAATGTCCCACAAGCCAAATAAGCCTTGCATATTCTTGGAGTCTTTTATTTTCCTCCTGTCGAGTAAGTCTTGCTGAGTACAATCGAGTACTCAGGGTTTTATTCCTCCTGTTGCAGGTGAGCGAGGAATGGTAGACGACTTTTGTGTGTGGAAACCTTCTAGTGCGCTCAGCGAGAATTTTCTTACGTTGCTAACATAGAGTTTATTCAAAAATTTCACAAAATGTTTTTGCAAAGGAAAAGACTTACAGTCGGTTCTCATTCCATGTATATAAATGTTTCTCATGTTAGCGCTTAAACTTGTCGTTAAATACATTTCCGCTGAAAACTTTGATAACATTGTTATATTCCACTTTTATAATCAATTGAGATAATATTCTGCTACTGTAATAAAGTGATGTAAGAAATGGCTTAAGAATGTTGTTAGTTTTATTCTCTCATTTATGACCCCGATGGAAAAATTTGGATTTTCGAGTTCTTTCTTAGGGTGTGCTCGTCGGAACTGCGTAGTTTAGTATCCTCTCTTGAGTACTTATTGTCTAATGGAAGAGAAGTATTCCTGTGAGGCATTAGATTAGGCGGTTCTGTCATAGGATTTTTTTTTTCATTTCTGCGTTTTTCCTGTGAACTAAATCCTATGAAATTCCTGCATTCCAAAAGGCTTTGTTGTTAGATAGTTATATACTCGATCTTTGCCATGGTAGGTTGGGTTCTACAAGCTAAAGGTACTTATTGTACCTTAAGACAATTTTCCCTTTTCAAAAAAGGTCTGATGTTCATGAATTCATGATGCCAACCTGCCAAGTGGTTCTTAGTAAATCCCTTTCTAATTCTTGTTTTCTAACGAGATGAGAAAAAACTTCTATCCAACAACTCCTAATCCATCATCCTAATCTTTTAAAACTGAAAAATCACCGTGTTCCGTGTAAAGTTCCGCGCTTTCGAGTCGCGCGTATCATCTCTCTCCCGCGCATGTTTGTCGGCCAATCTAAAGGTGGAAGGGCGTAGAAAGAATAAATAGTAGAAAATGGTTCCTGATGTAAATGTACGAGAGAGAGAATATATAAAAATGGTTAGGATAATTAAGAAATAATATAAGATTTCTAATGTAAAATTATCTTCTATATTTTAGAAGTGGATTATTAGAAACTCTTAGAGATAACCTTTATTCATTCCAATATTTTTTTAAGAGTCATAAAACTTTATGTTTTTAGAAAGAAAATATTAGGTCCTCCTGAAGATGCTCAAGGAAAATACAGCGTGTAACGAGTTCTGACAAGGGGTGATTCTCCGGAACTCCTGGCTCAGATTTACCATCATTAGGCGAAAAATACAAGGGGTGACATTAGTCAGTTATTAAGCTTGAAGTTGTTGAAAGGACTAAACATGTGATGACCATGTTAGGAATCTGTATCTCCGAAAACACATTGCAGAGTGAAAACAAAGAACAACCGAGAATACCCGTGACGGAAAAAGATAAAATGCTCCGAGTCGGGATTCATATACAAAACAAATAGTCAGATAACAATCAAAATGAACAGGTACACCTTCATCAGTGACTGATTCAAAATTTTGTTTGTGCTGAAATACAATCGGAGGTTTCTTGATCTATAGTAGAACATCCAATGAAAAAGAAGCCACGCATATTTCTAGGTAAGCAAACAGGTGTTGTACAAGTACAACCCATGGCCTTGGGAGCATCTATTTTTAAGCCTTGCAATGTTGGTGCCATAAAAAAAAACAAGCATTATGCCAACAACAACAACAACAAAGCCTTTAAGTCCCAAACAAGTTGGGGTAGGCAAGCATTATGCCACATCAATTTAATTTAACTGTCTATCAACCAGGCCACTGTGAATGTGCGAAGCTAGTTGGTATTAGCTGAGTTTCATGTTCTTCAACATGCTGCTGATAAGGGGCACCTTTGATGGAGCCTGTTGTTTGTAATTCTTCAACAGAACTTCTGCAGCCAAGCTCTGCAGCTCCGATCCCTCTTCCTCCCTGTTCCTTCCTTTGGTTAACTGATTGATTGCCGAAGTACACTGGGTGTTTAAGATATGCGAGAGAATCAATAATGGATCACACAGAAAGAATCAACTAAGAGTTCAAGTTTTTCCTACACTAGTATGGCCTTACCAGACATACACCAAAGAGGGCTCTTGTATTCTTGCCTCCAGTCAACTGGATTGTTGATGCATAGTACTTCTTAGCTGTCTGAAGATTTTCCAAGCCACCCATAGTGTACAGAACCTTCACAACAAAAGTATATATATACACTCAATAATCAGTATGATAAAGTTTTTAAAAACTGGCAGAACCACATACAGGTGCAGCACAAAATCAATTATGCTTCCCATTGAACCAAGAAACGCCTATGGTTTGTTAAGAGGAATGTTGAGTGTAACTGAGTAAAGTGGGACAGTGGGATTGACTCTAAATTCCAAGTCAGAGAGACAACAAAAACAAGCTGTGAAATACAACTAAACGTGTCAAAAATTACTAACTAAGATTAAGTGATTAACTGTATGCCTCGCAGGTAAAACATCAGCAAACAGGTAGCTGGTGGAACCAAAGTTAGTTCACTAGTTAAGATTAATTGTATGCCTCACAGTTGTTACAAAGATGCAATGCATTGTATATATCAAAAATTACAGTCCATATCTAAAGGAAGTCGTCACTGTGAAACATAATCACATCAAACAAATAGATATATTATATCAAATCCTTCTTTTATAAAAGATCACTATTTACTAAATTATAACTCTTGAATAAAACAATCCTCCGTCCAGACCCGTCTGGACATCATCAATAACTTGGCATGCTTTATTAGATTTTGGATGTTTCCCATCATGTTATGATGTCAAGACATTTGCTTGAAAGCATAATCGCGGAATCTTTTTTTTTTCATTCTTTCTTTTTGGAGAGGGGCTGCTTTGAGCCTTTGAGTAGTTCAGATCACCTCAGCATAGGCTATATGATAGAGTGGAATAGTTGGTTGGGCTAATATTAGCTCCTCATAACAAAAGGCAGCTTGCTTGTACCTGATAAGAAATGGGAACAATTTAGTATTGTGGCATCCATATCTAGCAGATTATGTAGAGTGAACTGATATCGAACACCTTACATTTGTAAGGAAACGTATGTTTCAGCAAGTTCTCTCCAGGCATCATGATCTGCCATAAATCTAATACAAGAAAAGAATTGATGTGTTATACCAAAAGGAAATTACAGATAACTACACCTTGCTCCTAAAACAAAGTGGATGCAGATACTTACAATTCCAGATACTTATTGAGATAATCAACCACTATCGACATATCACCTTGTGCTTTTGCAATAGCAATTTTCCTCTTGTGGACAATCTGTCAAACACAGAAAGCATTCACTGTAATGTTAAATGGCATCAGACAAGGTTCAAAAAACTTTGAACCTTGGAATTTGACTAGCTCAACGGGCAGAGAAGATTGGCAGATTGCACTACTACTGCAAACCAAGTCTTTAACATGAAAAACGAGAATCATCATCAAAACCACGATATGGCATACCTGGTCAAATGGATTGTTTTCCAGGATTAGCGCATAGGCTCTTTCAGCTTCACTCCATTCACCTTTCGCTTCAAACAGAAGAGCTTCTAGCCGGGCTACATTTTAGGGCACGATCAGTTCAGCATATACAGAGAAGTGACCATCGTACCAGCATCATAGAACTCACAGATGTCAAGTCTTCCATACATAAAAATAAAAAATCAGGAATTTGAGTCTTAGATGTATACATTTATTTTTAACTTTTTTAGTATGCACTACGATTAAGAACTCAATCATTAGATCACATCACCAACAATATCGAACTATCCAATTGCTTTTTCATACCATGTTCTTAATTAAAACATCAACACTTTGCCTTTATAATTAATATAGAGTGCAAGTATAATTATTAACACTTTAACTTCAAAAATTCACACTTCCACCTTCACTGAGTTTAGTTTAACATATAAAGAAAGGTGAGAACTGACCAAAGTACCCAGCATGGCAGCATAACTCGGCAGATATCATGTCTTTTGAACTTGAAACGGAAAATCAAAAATTGTGCTGTTAGATGAGCCACATCACCTTCAACGTTATCCAATTGCCCTCTTTTCTACCGGAATCTTAGTTACAATTTTGTGTTGATACATTAATGTAGAATAGATGCATACTTGTTTAACTTCAAATAAACCAACATCCGGACCTATAAGGTTCATTAGATCCCCTTCAGTTGTACTTGCCAGGCTGTATTTCTGGGGATGAAACAACCATCATGATGATATGAATACAGTGCAGGTGTAAATCTAACCCAGATAGCTGTATTTTACAACTATGGTCGAGGCTAGATGATATGTTCCAAAGATTAATGTCGAGTCAGCTAAATTCTTGATCAATCTATATTTATTTATACTAAAACAGTTTCGTCCTTGATCTGAAGCATAGTATGTTTAGGAACCATAATAGTCTCTCTAAAAGTTGAGTTCAGTAACCGCACTTACCAACCCGGGTGCTGCCAGGAAATTGCTTTGAAAGGACTCCGATACAGTCCTGCAAATCCATCAAAATACCACTAGATTGAAGTTATGCCACCACGCATCAGACAACAAGAACTTGAACCAGAGAGCACTGTCTGTCACACGGTTACAGAAGAAACCTCACCTTCGCCACATCGAGACGCTGGCAATCCATTGCCGCCATGGCCACCTGCTCGTAGAGCGTCCACTCTGCACCGAAAGAAAGCAGGCACACGTTTACGACCAGGGGTCGGAAGCTGCAAAGCTCGCGGCCATATTTTCGCAATTTCGACTAGCAAAATCACAGAGGATGCGAAAGATCCAGCAGAGACATAACGCGATCTAAGCATCTATGGGGCGGAATCGAGAAGGGCTGAGCAGGGCAATCCAAATCCACCACGCGTGAGAGACGGATAGATCGTGCCGGCGGCCGGGATGCGAGACCAGGGGCGAGATCTATGCATCTACCAATCGGGACGGGGGCGGATCAGCGAGGGTCAGGGGAAGAGAAGGCAGAGCGCGTTACGTTCTGAGGCGAGGCCGGAGCGCGCGGAGGCGTTGTTGAGGAGGGCGAGGCCAACGCGGAGGACGTGGGCGGGGCGGCGGGCGCGGAGCCGGCGGGCGAGGCAGAGGTACTCCCAGGCGCCGCCGCCGCCGTGCTCCGCCTGCTCCTCCAGGCGCAGCAGACGGGCCTCGTCTTCCGCCGTCGTCGCAGCCGCGACTGCCGCCGCCATGGGGGGATCGGCTGACTCGACCGGACTGTGTGGTGGACGTCGGGAGCGTAGAGGCGGAAGGGAGGGGCACAGCGCAGGAGCACGGGTGAAGTCGTTGTGTCGCGGCAGGGATTTTTAACTTTCTGCCATGGTTACGGATCCTTCGTTTCCTATTTCTGTGCACTTACCTACGTATTTACGATCATAAACAGTAACCCTTCTAACGTGGCAGGGAGCTCGGGAAGGCCTATGGAGCATGCGAAATAACCTATGTACCCTAGTTGCTTCTCTCTTCCGATCGCTGACGCGTGGGCCCCACATGTTAGCTTCGTCTTCAACCTCCTGCCATCACCACGCAGAGAGGGGAGGATTTTCCGAGCCCGCGCCGCACGACTCTCCGGCGGGCGATGGACACCGACGCCGCGGGCATGGACGAGGCGGAGGCGACCTTCTTCGCGCATGGGGACGCCTCAGTCTGCTTGCTCCCTCAGCCGCCTCCTCCCCACTGTGGTCGGCGGCGGAGGAGACCTTGTGGCGGTGTGGTGGGCCTTGGTGCTCAAGGTGCTGTGAGTGGTCGGAGATGGTGGGCGGCCCGCGGTGGAAGACCTTCATCCGGCGGTTTGGGCGCAGCGGGCCACCCACGCGGCCACACCATCACTTCGGCGGCAGCAAGCTCAACTACGACGCGCTCAACTTCTACGAGGGCCACGGCGCCAGCCCCGAGGGCGACTACACCGGCTACCGCGACTTCTCCGCGCGCTTCATCGCCCCGCCGGCCTCCGCCAAGTCGTCCATGGACCTCACCGGGTCCACCTTGGGCATGGACAGGAGGCCGTTGCCGTCGCCGGGGGAGATGAAGAGGAAGCTGCTGCTATCGCCGGGAGGGGGGAAGGCTCGCCACCATATACCGGGCGGCGCCGGCACCGAAGTAGGGGCGCCGAGCCGCCTAAAGCCTCGCCTACACCAGTTGTTGCCTCCATGGCTCACCACCGCCATCATAGACCTGGGGAGGATACCGCCGCCGCCGTGGTGGAAGGACACGCCACGGGGGAGTGGGGCCAGCTGGAGACAGAAGAAGGAGGCGAGGGCAACATGGTCATTTCGCGTGCCAAGTTAGGGCTCCCAGGCTACCTGCCACGCTGGCGTGCCCATCTGACGTGCCACCTCAACAAAAATAACAAAAAATTAGAAAGATTATTGTTTGCGATGGCAAATATGTAGGGACACACACAAAAATGACAAACGAAGGATTGCCATCCTTAAAAATCCCGTCGTGGCACGGCATGCTGCCAGAAGCCCAGGGCCGAGGGATCGAGGCGAAAAGCGGCCGCGGGTATCGATTTTCTTGTTACTGTTAGCCGTCAAACCTTCTTGTTACTGTTAACCGTCAAAGCCCAGACCCTAAGCCCATGGCGTGCAGCTACGAATTATTCTCTCATCGCAATCACAACTAGAAAGACTAAAGAGCGGACATCGTTTGGTGCGACAATCGAACTTGGGTCGTCGATCTGCCCGTGCGATCCGCAGCCTCTCTCGCGCGCGTGAACGCTCGCTCCGGCAAAAAGAGAGGAAACTCGTCCGCACGAACGCTCCGTCCGGCAAAAAAAAGGAAGTCGTGTTCCCAATCAGCTCCCCATGCGATCTCCTTCCCAAGTCCCACGCGCTCCCGAATGCTCTTTCCCAAATCCCACCTCCAATCACGCTCTTTCCCATCACGCAGCCGCGCCCGCGCGCCTCAACCTGCGCCCTCCCCCCTCGCGCTCGCCCACGCCACCGCCGCGCCCTCCACACATCGCGCCGCCGCCGCGACCGCCCCCTCATGCCTCCTCGTGCTCCTTTGCCCCCTTCTCCCTGGCCAGCAGTGGCGCAAAGAGCCCCTCCCATGAACGACAGCGATTGGACACCTCCCTCCCGGTTGGCGACGACGCGCTGGCCCCCCTCTGGCCACCTGTTTGAGGACGGCAGCGTACTGCAGGGCAATGGCGCGGGATCCAGAGCAGCAGATGAGGAGATAGCGAGGGCCGTACCACAGTTGTTCGTCCAACTCCCCATTGCCATCACACCTATGTCGAGTTATCCGACCTCCACCTCTGATTTCACCCAACGGTGAGCATTTTTTTGCATATTGTGATCATCAGTCATCACTATCGATTATCTGTTGTTTGTGATCACCGACAGAACTAAATTGTTGTAGCTCTAGATTGCGTACACCGGAGAGCACAACATAAATACATAATGAAAGGATTGGTGAAGAAAGGAAGAAGTTTGGCAATCATTATTATGTTTGCAAAACGAATTGTCGCCGCTATTCCTTAATTTTCAGGTTTTATGATGGCAGTTTTACAGCCCGGTGGAATCGCTGAGATCCAAGGAAGAGAAGAAGCGGAGGGAGGCCATTGTGGCATAGTTCCCAGTTCCCAGTCCTTCAGCATCTAGCCTCAGACAATGGCAGTCCCAATCCTTGTTGACAGGTAAACCCTGATCCCTGCAATGGCTGTGGGCCAGGATGCAAATAGGCAATACGGCTTCCACCATCTAGCTGGCTGGTACACCAGGAGGAAAATGGATGGCCATGGCCCTGCTGCAAAACAGGCTAATGGTCTCTCACTGGTATGCAGCACCACCTACCATGCGTACCCATTCAGTTTATTGATGTTAGATGACTAAAGCTATTCTGCAATTTTCAGCCAACCACATGGCTTCAAAGTTAAATCAAATGTAGGATCCACCATCAGAAAGTTGATGTACCGACCAACTAAACCTATGTGTGTTTGTTTCTAGGATCAACCGTCCGCAAGAACGTCCACTGGTCGAGCCTCGACACGTGTCAGCAATCATCGAAATTGAAAACAAGCATGATTGGCCAACAACGGCTTAGAGAGGTATGGCTCCTATTACTGAACCTAACCAAATGCAACTGTTAACTGAACTCCTTGTGTTTCGAAGTGTTTGATTCATGCCTCAGTTTTCACCCCATTGTCGGCCAATGAATATAGTCATGTGCAGGTATACCACCTCGGCTAAAGCCTAAAGGTATGTCATTTGGTTGAGTTCAGTACTCCTCCATACTAAAAAATGAAGTCGTTTTGGACAACGCTTGGGTCAAATATTGGGAATATAAATCATGAATAACTTTTAAGTTGTTGAGTTTGGAAATATGAAAACCATATGTATAGATTTGTCTTGAAAAATCCTTTCACAAAAATTTACATATATCAATTTTTAATAAATATCTTTATAAAAATATATAGTCAAAGTTATGCTTTGAAAACCGTATCACCGTCCAAAACGACTTTATTTTTTAGTATGGAGGGAGTACTCAGCATGGTGAGATCCTAGACCATATTTCCACTCAATTCTCTTATGTTAGTTTTGTTCCTAAAATTACCTTGAGTAGAAGTTAAAATGAATAAATATATATGGAGCTTGACCTATGGACTGGAATATGATATACTTTACTGTAGAGGAACACAACAACCGATGGTTCTATAAGCTCCATATTTTTTGCAATGGTGTATCTGCAATTTTAAGAAGTGTATATAGCACTATTTTTTTTTTGTTAGGAGCAGTATCTCTCACATCATCTCACAGCTATAAAGACTAAAAGATAGACACATTTTCTCGTGCAACAAAACATTGGGGTCATCGTTCTACCGTCGTCACTGCGGCCTGCGGTGGTGGGATCCCACGCACGCCGTCAATCACCCTTGGCACTAGTGGGACCTCTCCACGCGCGCACAATCACCCCCGATCACCAAGCAAGCAATCACTCTCCACCGCATGTGCCTCTCTCCTTTCTCGGCGCGTGCTGCGACCCACAGCCGCGTTAGCCTCCAGGTCGGCCCGCCCGCCCCACGCCGCTCACTTGGGTCTCTTGGGTCACGGGCAGGCAGTGGGCTCGAACCTCGCGCGCTCGACCCGCAGCAGCCACGTCGACCTCCGTCGGCTCGCGCCCGGCCGCCTCCACCACGCCTGGCTCGCCTGGGTCTCTTGGTTCACGGGTCACCGGCTTGCAACCGTGAGTGGGCTCCAACCTCGAACCTCGACCCGCCTCCGTCCTCAGCTCCGCCTCCGCCGCTGCCTGCGCCCGACCAATCGCTACTACGCCACGTCTTCGTTGGCCATCTCATCTCCTTCCTAATGTGTATGGATTTTTTATTTCCAAGCGCCTAGGCCTGTCGCTTTTCCCCTATCCCTCAGATCTGAATAGGAAAGGTCCCTATTAGTTAGTTCCTTGAAAAGCTAAACTGACACTTTTATTAAATTAAATAGCTAGTTACTCTACGCTCTAGGTCTCTTGGTTCAGTGTTAGGGCATTTTCATGGTCAATTTAATCTAGCAGAGTGGGCTCCAACCTCAATACTGACATGACATGACATCGACCCGCCGGTAATTACAAAGATAAGAATGTCCAGCGGAGGGTCCACGTCCGCCTCCATTCGCACTAGTCGACATAGTCGTTGCTGCAAGTCATGCCCGACCAATTACTACTAGTCCCACGGTCACCACGTCTTTGTTGGCCATCTCATCTCCTTCCTACTGTGAATGGATTTTTATTTCCAAGCTTAATTTCCTGGATCCATAGCACCAAGGTGAGTTTCTGTCGTTTTCCCCTCTATCCCTCAGATCTGAATAGGAAGGGTCCCTATTAGTTAGTTCCTTGAAAAGCTAAACTGACACTTTTTATTAAATTAAATAGCTAATTACGGATAGTTTTTAGAGATATGCTGTAATTTAGTACTTGAGATAACCTGTAAATTTAGAATGGTCGTGCATACTACTGGCATTTTAGACCAAGGACATTCAGTTTCAATTATTGTGCATTTGGTTTCCATTGACCATCAAAGTGCACCAGCTATTAAACTATACAATCTTAATGACTATCATGAAGGTATTAGATTTGCGAAATTTGGTTAGCATGAATGCATCATTCATACTATACTGTACCAGCTAAAAACTATACTGACTTTTGAAGGTCGTTTTTTAAATTTTAGATCATAATTCACTCAAGTTGTGCTGAG